GTTAAGGTATGTACCACTTAAAGTCCCACTGCACTACTTTAAGCAACTTGCGCCCTCGATATAACAAACAGTGCCCAATCGGTGACCATTGGTCCCTCATGATTCTCTTTTTCTTATGTTAATTGAGAGCTTATTTCATTTGATGAGATAACCACCTGTCAGTGACCATGCAGGGAGGTCTAATCGCTCCTGGGAAAACTAGTGCAGTAGGGCTTTTAAATACTTCTCCCAACATTTTTTAGGTTGAAATTTCATATATTTTGTATCAAAAAGATTTAGAGGAAAGCATTGTATCAGCTTACACTTTGTTACAGGCCGTTCCTCCTCTTCCATTTCAGTCTGTTTTTAATTCTTCATCAAATGACAAAATCACAAGGACGATTGACGTAGTTCTTGTTTTGGGTTCGCACCTCACTGACCAGACCCACCGAGTTGTTTGTACTTCTTTGGGCTTGTAGTCGGTGCAAGAGAAAATCAGTCAGATTATAACTCCCACTGACTCGGGCAATGAGTTGATGGATTTAAGATCTGACAACAAAACTCAGTTGTATCATTGGGTGTATTTGCCTGGTAATCTCTTTCAAGCAGATATCATACCTGCCAACCCTCCCGCATTTTCCGGGATATTCCGCATTTCTGGAATTTTAGGACCTTAAAATGCGGGAGATTCCGCATTTTGGAAATTTAAGCCAAATTGGGCTTGTATTACCATTTGCCGCGATTTGTGCGAGAGCTCTCGTATAGTATACTGTGTGTGTGTTGATGGCCGCGGAAGCTCATTTGGCTTGTAATGACGATTTTGCAGCGTATTTGTGCCACTGATCTACAGCGTAGAGATCAGCATTATGTGTGTGTGTGTAGCGTCTGGCCTGGCATGTACTCTCCATACACGTACACACACACACACACCAATACAAGCGATGTACAAGAACATGCACACTTCACCAGCGATAAATTTTGAGCGAACGGGTTAGCTTCGACGTGTGATCGTGAATGGTTACTAAACTTGCAAAAAGTTTGTCAGTTTTACTTATAATGTCTTCCAATCCCAAGGAATACGCTTGCTTGATGGATTCATGGAGTTTACCGTACCGTACTAACTTTTCAATTGTCTAATCCAGTATTTGGAAGAAGTGTGTCGGGACTATGGTATACAGAGTGAACGCACGCTGCAGTGCGGTACCGGAGGTGAGTCGGTGCCAGTGGAGTGGGGCAGCGATGGCGAGGCGTACCGTACATGTACTGTGTATAGTTTGATCGATGCATGTCAAATGTTGCCGTAACTGAGCTGTGTTGGACAATCGCTACACCGAATTGAATTCAGCGTACCTGCCAACCCTTCCGAATAATCCGGAATATTCCATTTTCTGGATTTTTAGGACCCCAAAATCCGGAATATTCTGTTTTTTTTTTCTCAAAATTTCGATTTTTTTTTTTTTTTTTTTTTTTTTTTTTTTTTTGTGTTGGTGTTGGTGTTGCTTAAGCCAAATTAAGCTTGTTTTATCCTTTGACGCGATGTTAGAGTTCACGTATTGCGTGCGTTGAAGGGCTGCATGATTAAAAACTGCCGCTGCATGTGCTAACGCCTGTTAAGTGTACAGATTTCTTATTTTCGAAGACATACCGCGCTAAAAATTCTTAATTCTCATTTTCAAATGTTGGCAGGTATGAGATATGCAATGTTCCAAAAAGTTGCAAGAGACTCCAACTCATGAAAGCTTCCCTCCCCCAGATTAAAAAAAATCAATAAATACAAAAAATAATCCTTGGAACATGTTGCCAATAACATAGCTGCCAACCATTCCGTTTTTTCCTCCAAATTACGGTATTACGTTTTTTATTCATAAAATAAGTTAATTTTTTTTTTTTTTTTTTTTTTTTTTTTTTTTGCTTACCACACGTCAAACAACTGCCCTAAAAGGGTGATTTGATCACAAATTCAATAGAAAACTAAATTTAAAACATACTTGAAAAGAACAATATTCTCAAAAAGAATGAAATGCCAATAATACCAAAATAACCACCAAAAAAAAATTCCTGCTTGTATGGAAAAAACAGCATGATGAATGATCATTTCTGCATTGGAAGTGTGTCGCGTGTGGTTGTAAGTTTCGTTTTTATGAATTCCTTTTTTTTTTTGCTTGAAATTCCTTTTTTTGGTCGCACAAGGTTGGCAGCTCTGCAATAATATATCATGTCTAGGATCCTTTCCCTGATCTTTTTAGGGAGAGCTGTACAAAGAAAGAGGAAATCTGGTTAGACTTAAAACTGTAAACAAAACAAACACTGTTGTCATCAAAAGAATTAATTGAAATTGAGTTGATAATTGATTTGGGTAAACTTCATCCTCTTTAACGATTCTTCTTTTTTGTTGTCAATGCAGGAGCTCGAAGTTCTTATGATGAGCAACAGGAAGTTCGCCGCTGAGATTGCCCATGGAGTCTCCTCTCGCAAGCGCAAGTCCATCGTCGAGCGCGCCCAGCAGCTGGCCATCAAGGTCACCAACGGCAACGCCCGTCTCCGCAGCGAGGAGAATGAATGATCATGTGACTCTACAAACATTTCCCCATACATGTATAGACATTACCAAGAAGATCATGTTGAATACAGAAACACACAGATATAGGATTACAGCGACATCTCAAGTCATTGAAAAGGAACTGTAGAGACAGGAGCGATACTGTTGTTGAAGCGAAGGATTCTTTTCATGGTTTGAAACACACAATAAACCCATCCTTATTGAAGCCAAATAAAAAGTGTTTTTGTCGTTTGTTTTATGATGAGAAAGCTTGGGGTCATTCTTGGAAGGTACTACAGTTAATTCTGCATAAGTAAAGTTGAATTTGTTGGGACTGCTAAAAATAGTTTTGACTTGATTCGAAATCTAACTGAGGAAGTGTAAATAACAAGTTTTTCATGGTTTGGTAAAAGTAAAATTGATTTGACATCTGGGAAAATTAAAGTTGTGTGGCTATGCAGAGTGAACTGTATTCTCTTTTTGAATTACCTGTGCATGTCAAAAATGTACTTTCACAGTATTGTGGTAGTGCTATATATTATACAGTAAAGACTTATATAGCGAGGATATTTTGATCATGACGTTTACCTTGTAGCAGATGTCTTTTTATATCCCCAGAGTACAAAAAAGAAAAATATTTTATTGAGCTTGGACCAGCAAAATTACTATTACATTTGGGCCTCGTTTTATAAAGAGATAGGAGACTGTAATCTTTCGATTGATTCGGATCAATCACTACTCTTTATAAGATTGGCCAAGGTATCTTATATATCAAAACTAAGTTGCCACTGCACTTAGAAGGGATGAATTGTTTGAAAACATCTGAGAGAGGCACAGATGTAAATGAGAGCTTCAAATTTGCAGTGAAATTCACTGCAAATTTCATTACAACAGAAAAGTGAGCAATACGGAAGAAGAGATGGAGACTGAGGTGTATTTCAGAGCGATTGGAAAGATGAGAGAGAGAAATACTTGAGTGATTATTATATATATTCCCAGTCAAACTAGCAACTCAACAATCTGGTGCATTGATTTGTTATCCTCTTTTGGGCTGAAATTGAATTAGAATCACTGATCTGGCATTTCTGGTGAAAATAATTCAGGGCTTTCCAAATATTGATTCTTTTAATAATAATAATGATAACATACAAGATTTATTAGGCCCCAAATCTACTTGAAATCAAATGCTCAAGGAGCACTAGTGAAACAAAAATAGAAATCACATAAAAGCATCTGCATTACACACAAAGGAACAGAAGTGAGATAGAACAAACAAATGACAACAATTAATTATGCTGAAGTAAACAGATATTTAAGTTATTTTTATTCTGATGCAGTTCTGCTGCCCTTATCAAGTTTTCTGAATCATTCCAAGATTCTCAAAAAAATTAATGCAAACAAATGAAGGTACTGTTACCATAACTGCTTGCAAAGAGGAAAGAACATGACAAAGCAATGGATTTATTGAGGTTTGCTTAGAAAGAAAAAAAATAGCCATATTGTGAATGAACCTTTGGGAACAATTCCAAATAAAAAGGCGTTAATTTTAGGGGCAGTGAGAAAGAAATAAATGTCAATGTACATGAAAAATATGTGCATGAATAGATTAGGATTTAGGAGGCTTGAAATCTAGAATATGAGTGATTTTAATGATACATGCATTGTGTGAAAGTAGGTGCTGTGACTTCTGTGACTTTTCTATGGCGAGGTTTTCAGAGACAATTGATTTGCCGTCAATACCGTATGCTAACCAAAATCTTCATGTTAATGTAGCAAATGTCGCAGGAGTACTTTATCATCTCCTTACTTGCTCCTCTACTTCTCTCCCTCTCTTTATCTCTTCTCTATGAATTCACTACCCCTCCTTTCTTAATTCAATTGCATTCATTTTGATTTTATACCTACACATATTTCTCCTCCCTTTTGCTTCCCCTTTCTCTCTCTCTCCCCTAGTCCAGAATCTGGCCTATTTAATTTTGATCTTCACCACACCAACGATACCTCTCCCTAAATGTTTGACGGCTTGATTCAAGTGTGTAGGGAATTATAAATGGCCGGGCAGATTCTGGACTATCTCTCCCCCTGTCCCTCTTTCTCCCTGCCCCTTCCAATTTACCTGTCAGCTGATATTTTCTCTCTCTCCCCTTTTCTCCTTGCCCCTTCAGTTACCTTTCAATTGATATTTTCTCTCCATCCCCATCTCCACCCCCCCCCCCCTTCTCTCTCTCTCCCTCAATCTGTCTCTCCGCACCTTAAATTACCTTTCAGTTTATTTTTTTTTTCTTCATCCCCTTCTCTCACTCTCTTTTTCTCTCCCCTTCTCTTTCTCTCTCTCTCTCTCTCTCTCTCTCTCTCTCTCTCTCTCTCTCTTTCTTGCTTCCCCCACTATTCCTGTCATAAATGTATCACCATGGCCATACACTTCACTCCTCCAAAACAAAAAACAAAATAGCAGATCAAAGCACATCCTAAAAGCAGTATGTACAGGTATTTAACAATATCAATTTATTATCCTGGTTACACCAAGATAAACATACATACACGTTCTTATTTTTTGTACGAGAAACAAAATCATTGTTATAACCACATTCTACAATCATTTCTTTTTAACAAAAAATTCCCACGCATCTATATCGGCCCGTAGTTCAAGAAATTGATTTGGGACAAACAAAAAAGGCAGGTCACACTTTATCAGACAGCAGTATGTACCTCGGATATTCTAAAAAATTATGAATTTGTTGTGAGTGTGTGCTATTTGTTGGGTTGGAAATATGCTTGAATTGAAAATTAACATAAGGTTACAACTGCATTATCATCAACCCCACCCCCCCCCCTCAAAAAAAAAAAGCAGATATAATTCAGTGACTACAATAAACATGAGAAACACAGTGGAAACTCATAAAACTCTGTCAAAACGTCTCAGTGTGACAATGTAATTAAGCCGAATCCAGTTCCATGTTTTGAATTTTCTATTAGCCCCATTTACTTTAGGAAAAATTTTAATGTAACAAGGTAACATGGTGGATCCACAATTCACAGCGCCATCTAGCAATAATCGTATGACGCATTATAGTAAAAAGTCATCAAAAGTATCCGTTGTGGCATTGTTATATACCCTAGGAGATAAGGGGATTTAATCTGAATATTTGGTTGGTGGGAAGGTTCGAACGGCTTATACAGGGAAAAAGTTTGCGGCAATTCCAAAAATATCAGTCGTATTGATGACCCTTCTCATAACATTTTAGTGATTTAGGCCACCTCTCTGGCCCAAGCTGACTATTATGGATGTATGGTTGCCTTTGGTTGGGGTTACTTTCCAATCGTTATTATCAGCAAGGAAGATTTGATAGGCCTATTCTATGTACCGGTATACAAAAATGGGAATCTGCCCTTTTGCTTGTTCTTAAGGAATTCGCTAAAACGATCTTTATAATAAATAGTGTCTTGTGATTAGAGACAGAGGAGTATTCATGGATGTCTATTCACATGACATGCACACATGGAGAGTATTTTTTTAGGCATAATAGTTGAGATCTGTTTTCTTTTTGGACTGCACTTCGAGGATACCATCCATGTAGTCTTCATGCATCAGTTCAGTGGCTCCACGACGCAAAGCGATCATACCCTGAAAAGAAAGAAAAGACATAAGCAGTTTGTTAAAGGCATTTTTTAACAATGTTTCCAGTCTTACAAATCTGAGATGCTTGACCCTACTTGTTATCAGCATCTTGATATGGTGTAATAATATTAAAGCCCTAAAAATATAAAATGTAACACAGGGTTGGTGCCCTTCTGGCTCTGAAGTCTCAACAGATGATAACAGGAGAAATTTGTTTTCTGATTCCGCTTCTCAAGAAGCTTCAATGTTCCTTCCATTTCATTTCCCGTCTTTTGTGCAACTGGGCACATATGGGTGCTTTTAAAACCTTACACCACAAATCCAATCCAGTCCGATCTGGAAATATGTACAGCGCCCAATGTCTAGTGGCCAATTGGAACAAAAAAAATTGTGATCGCTGTATCAGAGATTACTTACCGCTTCTACACACACTGCTTTGCACTGCGCTCCATTGAAGTCATCTGTACAGCGAGCTAGCTCCTCAAAGTTTACGTCAGCCCTGTACAGAAAAAAACAATGAAATATTGCATCAATTTACAGCTCACATGATAAGCTGATAAAAGGGTTGTATGGCACATGCTTCAGCAACATAAGCTTTACGGTAATTTCCCAACATCTTGGTCGGCTCATCTAAATTGAAAAAAGTGAGGTGTTTTAACTACTCTATACTCTAACAAAATTAGAATTGGAAAAGTTTGTGTCCGTATTCTATATTTTGTTTGTTAAAATGGGATATAAATGCATAAAATCATCAAATTATTCCCAAATTCTCACTCGTCTTCTGCCTGGCCCCTAGTTTCACAATCCTACTACCTGTAGCTTAAACAAGTAGACCCAGCCTCATGTAGGTATATATATAGACCATACACTGCACCAGCTAGAAAAGCAGCAAGATTTGGGTGAAGTTCCTGATTTTGACTTTTTGGGGGCGACAGTCGCTGTTTTGAGGGGGAAAAAAGTTTTTAAAGAAAGAAATCTGACCGACCGTTCTGGCAGCTAAAGGGCAATACAACATCTTTTATTTTCGTTTTGTAGGCCTTACGTGAAGTTACACTCACCCAACGTTCATCTTCCTGGAATGGATTTGCATGATACGAGCCCTGGCCTCCTCGTTGGGTGCTGGGAATTCAATCTTTCTGTCCAGTCTTCCTGACCTCAACAGGGCGGGGTCAAGGATGTCCACTCGGTTTGTGGCTGCGATGACCTTTACAAAAGAAGAAGAACAAACGGAAGTTACTAGGAGATATACATTTCCTGACATAAGAGTATGAACACCTGGAAAATACAAGCCCAGGGAACGGTTTCACAAAGCCTTTTTTCAATGACAGAATGAGGCAAGATGAGGAGTGAAAGTGTGTAATGCAAGAGACGGAGAAAGAAAATTAGGAGCAATAGAGAGAGAGAGATTTAACAGTACTATAAACAAATACCTTGATTTCTTCAGATGAACTGAACCCATCCAGCTGGTTCAATAGTTCCAGCATAGTTCGTTGAACCTCCCTATCTCCAGCCTTCTCACTGTCGAACCTCTTGGTACCGATGGCATCCAACTCATCGATGAAGATGATTGCCGGGAGCTTCTCCTTGGCGAGGGCGAAGGCATCCCTTACCAGCTTGGCTCCGTCTCCGATGAACATCTGAACGAGCTGTGGGCCAGCTAACTTCAGGAAGGTAGACTGCATGATACAGTATAGTGTTTTTGTGTTATCAACAAATATGTTAGGATAGCCAACTTAGGCTGTACAAAAGGGAAATTTGGGAAATTCATTTTGATTATGTTTCTGCCATCAACTATTCCATATATTTTGTGTATATTCAAGAACTATGAATTCTTAATGTGTATATGATAAAATGCACACTAATTCAGTGTATTATCTTTTAAACAAGAATGCCGCGAATTACACATACGGTAGTACGAACAGAGAAAAGGCAAATATCACAGAAAAATTGGAGTCCACTTCTGTTACAATATATTAAGGTAATTGCCAATTTATGACATACATGTATATGTCACTTTCATTCACATTTTAATTTGTTCAAAAGAATGTAAATTAGAAGAGGCATAGCTGATCAATTTAAAGTTTGGGAAATTTTGAACCTCTATGGGTAAATATTTTTCACGCATCCAGTCCTTTGGGCTGCGATGAAAGTATTTTGTATACATCATATTGATTGAATGAATGAAAGTAAATGTTCTTTTTCATTTAAGGTCAGCAAATATGATGACCGCTATACTCTGAGTAAATTACGTACCTTACTCTGAGAAAATTACGTACCTTTGTCTGTGCAGCACACGCCCTGGCCAGCAGCGTCTTGCCCGTGCCTGGTGGACCGTAGAGTAACACTCCCTTGGGGGGCTGGATACCTATGTTTACAAACCTCTCTTTGTGCGTCATGGGTAGAACTACAGCCTCTATTAACTGTCAAGAGCAAAGATAGGAATACAAGAATAATATACTACATTGTAGACTAATAGGGATTCAGTCGATGATGATGATGATTCACAGAATTCATATGGCCCCATATATCTGTTTAAAAAAACATTCAAAGCACAAGCTTTTCCAGTAAAGTTAGCATTTAAATGTCTGAAGGAAGGTGTGAGTTTTGAGTGAAGATTTGAAGTGGTCCAGGTTGTCAATTTCGTGAATAGAGGAAAATGCCCACACAAGAGTATGGCATTCTTTTATTGTTAACCTATTTTTTTGCCCATGTGTCTAGTGCACATGATAGTCATAAGCCCTCCTCAATATTGAATAAAGGATATCATTTTAAAAAGTCACAGGATCTGAAAACTATATTAAAACACATTAAAATAGTGTGTTAAATTACGATTTTACTGCAAAATAAGAGAATTAGTTAATTAAAGAGAAGGTTGAATTCTGGGGAAACGTGAAATAATTAGTGAGCGTGGAAGTGTGGAAGTGTGGAAGAATATCAGAGAAAAATGTTACCTGAAAAGCATGGCTTTTCAAATGTCTTTATATTCTAAATTTGACATGTAACAGCATGAGAATGAGGCCTGATTTTTAAGCCACATGTTTGTGTAGTCCCATATACAAAACATGATTCTGTGTACAGTGCCTGTTACCAAGACTGAGCCAAATTTCTAGTCATTTTGATGGTTCCAGAACCTTGCAGTACACACCAATACTTATATGCTAGATGATCAATTTTTTCTGATTCATTCCACACAGTTTCTTTCACAATGCATTCGCATGACCAGAACTCAAACCTGTTTTCAAGCAATGCTACGGTCACAAAGGTTTGTACGAACGATAATTTTGTACGAATCTCCCTATTTTTCCATTGTCTTCCCGAATTTCCATTGTCTGAAAATCGTTCGTACAGCATTCGTAGCAGTTCGTAATGGCATTTGTGACCAAGGCTTAAGCTGATTATATATATATATATGGCACTGGTTTTTTTTAACTATGACCGAATAGCTAAATGGCCCTTTGAGAGCCTGAAACTTTTCAAAGATAAAGAATTAGAAATCAATTACAACTTTTTCTTGTAGCATGGACCTAGATTGACCTCCCATAGCTTAATGAAAAATTTTCAACATTGCTTTATGTGCATGAGGTATCTCTCAACAGCCAATTGTTTACGGAATTTTGTAACAAAATTGACATACCTTTTTGGTTGGAACCGAAAAAAATATATACCCACAAACAATATGTTTTTTTTCTATTGATGTTTGATGAGCATGGGTGGATCTTAAAGAAAGTTAACAGTAATATGAATTAACTCCTGTATTTTGATGGAACAGTGCAATTGAAAATGGTGTTTCGGACGTTACATTTTCCGTAAACAATGTAGACCCTCATTTAACCCACCAGAACAATAAATTAAAGAGACTGTTTATGGTTTGAATAAGCTTATTAGTTACTCCAAGTCATTAAATTAAAAGAAAATATAATTTCATTGTAGTAGCGCTTATATTAAAAATATACTCAAAATTTGAAAAAGTTGTCTCATTTTCCGTAAACAATTTTGTAACGTCCGAAACAACTTTCAATTTGAAGTAGCAGAAAATATATGAACTGCAGGACCTATCTTTCGTAATTTTTTTTAAACATTTCATGGCAGCTACCCACCAAAAAAAAGAAATTTGCAATACATCATTACAATACTATTTTATAGTTAAAACCAATTTTCCGTTAACAGTTGTAACGTCCGAAACAAATGTAACGTCCGAAACAAAAAATACCAAATAAATGATGATAATCCATATTTGAGGGTATCTGGAGTGAATAAATCATTATGACATAAGTTATTATAAGTCTTAACACAAGTCAAAATCCAAATCAGGTCTTTCAAATCCCTTAATTTTGTGTAAGCTCAAGAAAGGTGTTTCGGACGTTACACTATTTGATTGTTAACACATAGTTTCCAAATTTCAACTAATTTTCGATCATATGTGCAAGTTACGATTTCACAATGCACAATCCTGTTAAAAACACTATTTTGATAATTTCATTTAGATCTCAATATAAAAATATGAAGAAATATAATGCGAAAAATCAAATTTCCGTTAAATATCTGAATTTTCTGCAAAATTGACTTATAAAACATAAAATATTGAAGCCACTCATTGTGATGCAAGGTATGGCTGGCTGCTTTAGTATATCCTTAGTTGTAATTTATCAGAAAAAATCTTAATAAAAGTGACTCATACAAAATATTCAGCCATTTTAACAGCACTTTCTGGTATGCTGTTAGCACGTTTCGGATGTTACATTAAACTGTTAACAGACATTTTCATAATTTAACTAGTTCAAATGAGGGGCAAATATAGATGAAAGAATAGCAAATTTCAATTTTTCAACCTCTCCTCTTGCTATTTACATTGCTGTGTGTTTGCAAATCATCAGGTTTTCATTTTTACAGAGGTTGTTCCAAATTATGTCATATAACCAAAGATTGTATGGTCAATCTAAACTATTTGGTAGGTTACAAAAGCTAAAAATCACCCACTTAAGCAATACCCAGTGTACATGTACATGACACGGGTATGATACAGGTATATAAAGTTAATAAAATCAAGCAAATTAAAATGTTTTTCTAAAAAATTATGGGAAATATGAATTTTCATTTGAAAATACCTTTTAAAAAGGGCACTTAGTACACGTAACTAATCTGTGTAGAAAGTACATACATGTTTGAAATAAAAGGGCATTACCAGTAATACCTTATTTAATGATCCTAAAAATATACAAGTAGTATCTTCCTCAAATGTATGCATACATACAAAATGTATAAGCTAGTGTAGGGATTTATTTCGAACTTCTGAAACTCCCCTTCATATCCACGATTCATCCCTTTCATATTAATAGGTCATCCCTCATTCACATTCACCCTTTTCATCCACCATCCTTTCATCTGTCTATCTCTCTCTCTCTCTCTCATTGGTTTCAATATTCACCTGATGCAGGCGAGCTTATATAGTATAATGTACATATACTATGAATATTCAATATATACCCTTTGTTTATGTTTGAATATTCAGGAATACTTTGTGATGTTGATTTATACTTGTATGGGACTATATGAATATATATTGATTTCTTCTACTTTGCATGGAATGTATGTGGAATGCTACATAGAATGCTGTAATGCTTTTACACATTAAAACCTGGTAAGTTAGCCAGTAGTTATCAATCCTACAACATGTCTGCTGGGGTGCCTCTGTGTTAAGAGTGCTAGGAATTATCTGTTAGAACCGCAACCCGACACTAGTGTGAAATATAAATGGGCTGTCCGTTTTGTTTTTTTTCCTCTACGAAATATCAAAGTTGGGGGTGCGGCGCTGCGGCCTTATCGCCGGCAAATACGGTACATGTTTAACCTACACTGTATATTGTTTGTCACCTGTGATATCGGCACAGCAAGAGTTAAGATCTATCAACCAACCAACCGACCAACCAATCAATCCATCCATTCATCAATCGGTCATTAATTAAATAAATAAATAAATACTTATTTAAGAGCATTAAAAAATGTTGTCGTTTGAAACAACCTCCTAATTGTGGTAAAGGATGATTGTTACTACAGTAGTATTATAACCTAAAACATACACAATTTTAAAATTCAGCTAAAATGTCTCATTCTCGAGATGTACAAACATTAGGATTTACTTATTTCTTATTACCGTACTTACATGACTGGGGGTACTTTTTTATAGTTTTATTTTTAAAAAGATTTTTCAATGTTTTGCTTACATACATGTATGTGTTAGTAATATTATTGAATGACACGCTATATAGTTGAAGGTAAAGAACATTAGCAAGCTGATTAAACATCTATATTGTAGAGTTTGTAGAAATTGATGATCTCATTGAAATGTTAACATCGTGTAACATCCGAAACAAACCATAGTATACATTTCACACTGTTGTTCATAACATGCAATAAAGAGTATGTTTCTACGTGAATTTTCTGAGGAGTTTTGATGACTAAAATTGCTATTAGCTTCATATTTCACTCTGTTAGATCACATAAACAATTTTTAACTACCGGTACACGTTCTTGAAATGAATAATATTCCTTACATGAATTGAGTGGTCAATGAAGACAAACTTGGTATACATGTATGTGCTTAACTAATTAAAACTGCGCAATTTTTTTCCATAAATGTTACAGAAGTATTTTTCTGCAAACAATTAAAGTAACTGAGATCAATAATACCTAAAGAAAAGCAATTAACTTGAAGAAAGTTATAATGTTAACAGTGTGTAACGTCCGAAACATCAGTGGTGTGACATATGAAAATTATTAGACAATGCACTGGTTCCCAAGTTTTTTGCAAGTATTTACCTTATATCATCACTTGTTATAATAAAATAAGTTTGACCTAAGAAAAAAGCATTTTACCTATTGAATTAAAAACTTGTTATTGTCAAAGCCCTAATTTAGAGCTATTTTTCACTTTCAAGGGATACAAAATCTGTATTTTTCAAGATAGAAACTCTTTTTTTGCATGATTAATCTCTGAAACATATTCTTAAAGACCCAACATATTTAAAGGTGTAGTTAATAGCAAATGAGTTTTATATCACAGTTATAAGTTATGCTATAGTTCACAATAAAATTGTAAAAACTCAAAGTATTCATATCTGGTGAACAAATAAGGAGATAGATTAAGGTCCAGAATTTGCATTTCTCAAAAATATGATTAGTCCTGATCCTAAAAATATAAATTTGAAGTGAGTAAACATAATTTCATTTTGGACCCATTTGTGGACACATTTGGTATAAGTTAAAAAAACCAGTGCCATATACAAGTTTTTCTTACTTTTCATTTATTCATAATGCAATGTATGGGAACATATCAGGAGATGAAATATATGAAATTACTTTACCTCTTGAATCTGTTTGTCCAGTCCTCCGATATCACTGTACTGTTCTGTCGGTCTCTCATCGACCTCCATTGCTTTCACGCGAGAATCAAACCTGATCGCAAGAAAATTGCACGCAAAAACATTGGTGGTTTGTTGCCAAATAAATAAATATTAATCCTTTCCATTCAAGGTAGGTCATATTTAGGGTTAAAGCTCATTCTCAGTATAGGCTTCAAATAATCAAGATTTATTTCTTATATGAAGTAGGTGGGATTTTTGTATCAGTAAATTTGAGTAGATGGTCAGTCCTTAAAACCAATTCATTACAGTGCTGCCAAGCTTACGAAATGTATCACAGTTTGTACAACACTTGCTTCTGCGACAGTTGCTTCACAGGAATTTGTTACACTAACCAAATTCCAAATTTTAAATCTGGATCCAACACTATACCTTAACGCAATCCCATCCTTACTTTTTAATGTTGGTTCATTCTTAAAACGTTATTTGGAAACATAAAAAGCTTCTAATTGTATAAAGCTTCACAATCCATAAGCAATGTTGAATATCGTGAACAAAAACAAGCTTTTTTATCAAAGGTATTAATTACAATATTAAAATTCAGAGAATTAAAATTATCCATCATTACAGGGTAAGGGTTGTAAGGGTTAAAGCACTCAAGGCCCCGTCTTATAAAGAGTTGTGATTGATCCAAATCAATCGCAAGTCCTCTAATCAATCGTAAGTTTGTACAAAGTTGCGATTGATATTACACAGCAACTTATTTGCGATTAATATCAACTCTCTATAAGACGTGACCCTGCGGTATCTGAATGCACAGATAAAATAGAATGAATGAGAATAGTTGATGAATATCTTACTCTTGGGGGAGTGTCTCTAGGATGAGATAAGAATCTTTGTTATCTTATGAAGAGTTGCGATTGATCCAAATCAATCGCAAGTCCTCCAATCAATCGTAAGTTTGTACATAGTTGTGATTGATATTAATTGCAACTTATTTGCGATTAATATCAACTTTTCATAAGACGCGGCCCTGTGGTATCAACATGCACAGATAAAATATAATGAATAAAAATAGTGAGATGCTGCGTGTAAGTGTTGGCTTGCATGGTGATGTAGATATACAGTAGGCTTGCGGGTGCACCATGTGAGAGAGAGAGAGAGAGGATTGAGTCCTGAAAAGGACTGTTTGTGTAGTCTTGAAAAAGAGTGTTGGTTATCTTTCTTAGCTTATAGTTCTAAGGAGAACTATAGCGCTTGGAGAGGATGAGTGGCGGGAGTGGCTCAACGTTTCGAACAGGTTGACTATCCGTCCTCAGGAGACTGATAGTCAACCTGTTTCACATGGTGCACCCGCAAGCCTACTGTATATAAAAATAGTTGTTGAATATCTTACTCTTGGGGGAGTGTCTCTAGGATGAGATAAGAATCTTTGTTGACCCCGACGAGGTCACCAGGGTTAAGCTTCTCTGCATCTACGAGACCAATCACCGGCAGGAAATAGGTCTGTGATGGAGCAATATAAGATATGACAGATAACTCACTTATGGTTGAATTCATGTATTCATGTAACAGAGAGAATATGGACATTTAGATTTGCACGACGAGAACCTGGACTGCTCATGTGACACCCTTTGAAGGCAATGTGACGTCACTGCCAGTGCCTTAAAAGGATGTCACACGTCGCAGTCCACGTTCTCGTCGTGCAAATCTAAAGTTCCTAAAGAAAGATAGAAAGAACATAGTGAAACATTTCATCTAGGAGTCAATATCAACACTTGATCCTTCTCTTTTTCTCTGCCCCCCCCCCCTTTCTCTCTCGTCTTCCTTACTTGTCTTGGTTATATGTTGATCAGCGCAAGTTTTCCTTTTCACTGTGGGTCAGGATAAATGTTTTCCCCTTCTTTCTCTCTCTCTCTCTCTCTCTCTCTCCCACATCTACCTCTCATGTTCATCTTCTTCCTCTACATCACAGCTGTTGATGTTTTGATCACAGCAAATTTTTCTTTCCTTTATGAATCAAGATCAACATCTGCTCCTTCTCTTTCTCTCCTTCTCTCTCTCTCTCTCTCTCTCTCTCACTCCCTTTCATTCTTCCCTATTCTCAAAGCATTCATCCTCTCTCTCTCTCTCTCTCTCTCTCTCTCTCTGTATCACTCTTCCTTACTTGTCTTGTTGATGTTTTGATCACAGCACATTTTCCTTTCCTCTGTGAGTCCAGATCAACATTTGCTTCTTCTCTTTCTCCATCTCTCTCTCTCTCTCTCTCTCTCACTCCCTTTCATTCTTCCCTATTCTCAAAGCATTCATCCTCTCTCTCTCTCTCTCTCTCTCTCTCTCTCTCTCTCTGTATCACTCTTCCTTACTTGTCTTGTTGATGTTTTGATCACAGCACATTTTCCTTTCCTCTGCGAGTCCAGATCAACATTTGCTCCTTCTGTCTCTTCATCTTCATCTGGTTGGACGTCAAGGAGCTTCATATGAAAATGATTTTTAAAAATAAGAAAGAAAAAAGAGAGAAACATGTATGATGTTGATTGAAGACAGATTGTGGTGTAGTGGTTATGTCCCCAGACAGTGGATCACAACATAATTGGTTCAAATCCTCATCACAGCACTTACATCTCTTACAAAGACAGCAGTATTTGTTTTAACATAATATAAAACACAATTCTAAGATACTACATAGCCCAGAGGGAGGAGGAGGTATAAGAATATGACTAGAATCCACATGTGAAGTTAGCCCCTTTTTTAAATCTTAAATAAATTAACACCTTACCAAGCTAGTTGTCAACCAATTACATAGGCTATATTGCATAGTTAGTTGACAACTAGGCTAAGTAAGGGTCTACAAATATGAGCCAAGTTTAATAAATCACGAATCCGAAACTACTTACATGTCATGACTTTTTCTATTTTATCACAGCACAGGGTTTGCAATTAAAGGGATTGGGTAACTTTGTATCAGATTCTAAACAAAAATCCTGGATTTAGCTCATGCTGCAATCATAATTATAAACATTTAGGTCAGTCAGGAATCCCATGACGTTTACAAGCCGCTCGCCTGTCCGATTATGAAGATATTTATGATTGAATTCAAAATTTCAAAAACCGTTGGAAAACGTTTTTTTATGACACTACAGTCTATTGGGGGAAATGAGTATGGTAAAACCAGTCACTCAAAGATTTTTACTTTTTGGAGGCACTTTATGATCATTTTAAAGCGCACATTTTTGAAAAGCTTCAATATTACACCATATCACAGACGCTGATGACACGTAGGGCCATGCTTCTCAGATTTGTAAAACTGGAAACATTGTTAAACAATGAAAAAACACGCCCAAAGCTGCCTATCAAATTTAATTTTAGTAGCATACCAAAAAAGATTTTTTTTTTTTAATGGATACAGGAGTCACTCACCTCGATGACATTGGAAACTAAATATGGCAGAGTTTTGTTGACTTTAATCTTCTCCTCGTTTTCTTTGATCTTTTCTTTCTGTGCCTGCAGCTCATGTTGTATGCGCATGATCTCACTCTTCATAATCTGCGTGAAGGAAAAAACAAAGAAATACAAAATAGAAATACATGTATGAACAAGGCTTGACTTTCCCTTTCTGAGACTTTGTTTCCTGGCTGTTTAGAAAACGCCATTCTTTGGGAAACTGAAGTTAAGATAGAGGTAAATCAGTAACAATATTCAAGATATCCTTATTTTTAAAAGTGCTTAAAAGTATACTAAGCTTTTCTCTATCAAGTACTTTTTTCTCTCTCTACTGGAGATTTTTTCATGTTATTTTATATAGAAAAGATAAAGATATCATTATGATGCTACATCAAATCAAGTTTTTTTTGGACGTTTTTCAAATCTTCACATTCACAAGATAAACTGCTGTCTGCTCAAACATCCCTAATCACAGACACTCATCAACCTCTGGAGTGTTTCACAAAGACTAAGATCGACTTTAAGTTGGACTTAACTATGGCAGGCCTTTCATGCCACTGGTTGCTCCCACCATTGGTCTCTCAATTATGATATTTAGATAATATTTTTGCCTTCAATAATTAACTGTCAAAAAATGTAAATTCTGTAGATTTGTGACCACCATTTATACGTCTTTATAGTCTTTGTAAAACACCCGCCAGTACGTACAGCAGTGAACTGTCCTAGTGATGGTTTCTAAAGAGACTTTGAGATAGTGTTTGTGTACTTTCTAGATTGATTTACCTTGACTTCATTGTCTAGTAGTCTCGTTCTCCCGATGATTTCATCTGTTGACATGCGTAAGACCTCCTCACCTACAGAGTCCTAGGAAGAAAAAAAAGGATAACAGCGAAGTTTAAAATATGAACAAAGAGCAAAAAATCATAGAAGGGGATCGATTACATATGGGTGCGGGTGCGCGCATGTGTTAAGTTAGCAACTGTAATCTTAGTTTACGGTCGCTAACTGAAAGAAAAAAAAACGCCCGCACCCCACAGTTGGTACAGTTGGTACGGTATGCAATTGTATTGTACTGCAGTTTGCCGTAAATCCCATGAAAAAGTGCAGATTACAAGTCTTTGTTTTTAGGAAAAAAAGAAGAAAATTGACACGAAACAGGCAACAAACATATAGACTTTTGAATCATGACCTTTAGGCCTATTTGGACATTTGATGAATATTTACTTTATTTTGGGTATGTTTTAGAAGGGTCTCTCCACGCCGGAATTACAGGTCAAAGTTTGGATAGACTTCTGAGCTGAACTAGAGTAAAGGAGCCGGTAATCGGCCAGGTCCAGTTTTCGGCCGATTGGTTGGATGCAAGGTAAAATCACTCTAAAATACATCGCATAATAGCATAACACATATCCCACACATACCATACCATGCCAGTGTCACTGAAGAACCACATTTGCAATGAAAAATATATCCTAAAATATCACATTTTAGCGATGTACTCGGCGGTACAGGGTTCTTGTTAATTTTTCTGATAGCAGGCTATTTATGATTTACAGGAGGCTACTAAAATTGCAAAAGAAAAATCTCTGTGCGCGTAGCGCACATCACGAGCGTGAAGCGCGAAGTCCCTTGCGGCCGGGGTCCAGGGCCCGCCCAAGGGCCCTGGAAGCTTTAGGGTTTTAGATGCTCTCTGGTGCTATCTTAGCCTTATTTTTGAAGATATGACCACACTGTATGAGCCATAGTTTAATGATAAAGATCATGAATATTTTGGCTGAATAACTTACTTTTCATATGATATACAATATGAAATGAAAATGCTCCATTATTGTTTCTGATAAATCAATCATATTTGTGATGAATCTACAATTTTGAATTACATGATAATGATACAAGGTAGTCCTGGGCAAAAACGGTTAACTGACGTTTACAGGACCTTGTCAGTGAAGAAAATCGTTTGCGATAAAAAATTTAAAAAATTGGAACACACATAAAAAAAATATGACAAAATTGGATTGGTAAATGGTTTGCAGGTATGTGACAGCTGTCACAGGGGTCTGGGGGTGTTACGAATACGTTATCGAATCGTGCATCGCCAAATCAATCACAGTTTCACACTCATTATTACTACCGGTATTATTTATAATTTAGCCTACATTATTATTTACATTTCAAATAAAAAACTTACCTGTACGTTGCTTCTTACTCTTAATAGTAACAGGGTTCGTACGGGTCAGGGAATTTCTGGAAAGTCAGGGAATTTAAAAATGTTTTTTCCAGAAGTAAAAAGTCAGGGAAAGTCAAGGAATTCATTCATTTCTTCTGGAAAGTCAGGGAAAATCTTTTTTTTTCAAGATGTTTGTTAAAATGGCATTTAATTTGTCTTGTGAACAAAGGAAAAAACATTTGGTAAAATCTGTGGTTCACAGGACCTTTTTCGTAACACGCAATATCTTTAGGACCTACTGGTACCGTGTCTATTGTGTCTTTCATACTGTATGCAAGATGTTTGTGCGCGTGAATGACTTGCAGTGACAGGTGCGGTGCGTGGTGCCGGTGTGTGTACATACAAGAATGCTGCATGAACGCTGTACGATTACTTTTTGATCGAGCTTGTGCTTTGATTTTGATTAAAAGTTTGAATGAAGGTGTTTTACCCTGGGGTTTTACCACAGAATATTCATGAAACAATAATTTAAATGTAAATAACTATGTATCATGAGCCACTCGTGTTTTCTTAAGAACCCCTTTAAAAATTGTGTTGCTCTTTACTCGAATATCGCAACCCTGAATCGCATTTGATATACATTTGGCGTCCATTGTGCGAGCGCGAGCATACAGCCAGTAGTTAGCTAGCCTAGCCTCGTGGTTGCTGCTTTCCCCAATGTCCGCAATGAAGGCACACTTTTTTTCCCTCAGCAAAATATCCAAAGTCGGGGATGGGCCTTATATAGTCAGGTACAGGATATTTGAGTCCTCAAATGCTACTTTTTAGTGGTTTCAAAAATCTCTGTGTCTCAACATGAATTACATAATGCAAATAAAGAATAGGATCTACTATTTGAAGTTAAACTACGTTCCAAATTTGAAAGGAAGAGAGTTTTTTTTCCAGTTTTTTTTCTTCAGTCTCGATAAATTATGCCCTGTCACAAGGACTTTGCCGGCCGAAGCTCTCCCGTGTCTCCAGCTCACTCACCTGTATGATGCAAGCTCACTTACACAGGGGATAACGAATCACCACGTGAAAACTAGCCTGTCCACATTTCTGTTTGGACTCGGAGGAAAATTCTGTCATCTTTAGTTTTAAAAACAACATTGTTAAATGGGTCTAACTTAGTTCACAAGCACTTCAACTGTGCCTCGTAATAAAATGAAAGTATTTTCGAACGCTGTCACTAAAATAAGAGCCGATCTGATGTTAACAAAATGACCAATGTTGGCTTTTTTTTGGTGGCTTTTTGTTAACCAGATCAGATCACGTCTTATTTCAGTGTTCGAAAAATACTTTTACTTTTCAATATACAAGGCACAGTTGAAGTGCTTGTGAACTAAGTTAGACCTAGGTCTAGTAACAATGTTGTTGTTTTTTTCCAGATTTTTTTTCAGATTTTTTTTTAGATTTTTTTTTTTTATCTTCGAAATAGGGGTGCGCCTTACAGTTTTGTAATTTGCTTCCTAGTATTGCGATGATGTATAGTTGTACGCTTTAGATTAAGACATGTTCATCATTGAAAATGGTCATGGAAATTTACATTATCCTGCTCTGGAAAGTCATGGAAAGTCATGGAATTTTTAAAATGTGTAAGTGTACGAACCCTGTAGTAAGGAAGGAAGACATCGATGTCTGCCGTTTCGATTCCATTTTAATTCGACTGGCGTGCGATCTCGGAGATAAATTCACTCAGCTAGCTCAGCTCGGCTCACAACGCGCGCTTTTCTTGCGTAAGCTAGCTTGCCGGCCTGCGCTTGGCTCTGGCGCACTGGGCATATAGCTCTGCCCCCGCGTGCGCCGCGCCGCAAGTCCATATTTTAATAGGGTTTTATTTTACGATCGTTTCGGAGACGTTTCATCTCATTTCTTTACGACCGTTTTCACAACCCCGCGCTATGAAAGCGTGTCTTCGTGAAGCTTGTGATAACAGAAATTTGAGATAGCGACTTGACCGAATATGATGTGATTTTTGTATTATTATTTTTTTTTTTTGGAGAGGCTTACAGCCGGCTACGATTGCCGTTACAGCCGGAAAAAATAGCCGGTTGCCGGCTATTAACAAGAACCCTGCGGTACCGCTACCCGAATCTGAAAAATCGAGTATCTTACGCGTGTCTGTAAGAAATATGGGTACCATAAAATGAGCTTTATTTCAAGTATTTTTCAAATTTAGAGCCCGATTTTGTGCTAGTCGCAAGCTCAAAAGTATCTCACCGCATGTATTAAATCAATGCAGCCGCACACCGCAACGCACACACGATATCTCTGTCTAATTCAGATTCCAATATCCGATCACCACAGTACTAGTTTTCGGCCTGGCGAGCTCCGGGGAGCTCCGGCGTGGGATATCTGCTCCGCCCGCTAGTGCTATAGATCAGCGCGGAAACGTACGGCACGTGCGCGCGCTTCCTATTGACTTTGTACTTGCGGCCGAAAACTGGTACGCTATGCCGAAAACTGACTCCGAAACAGTGAAAATTGAAATGAATATTGTCATGGCAATTCGTGAATTTTTTCTGGGATTCTTGTTTTGTTTAAATAATAATAATATTTGCTTCATGATTTGAACAAAAAATGATAATAAATAGGAAGTAAAGGGTCCTAAAAATAGGATTTTGTCTTAAGTGGCCGAAAACGGACTCCTTTAGTCTAGAGTAGAGTCTCCGGTTTGCGGCATCGCCCGGTTTGCGGCCAGGGGTATTTGTTTTAAAAATAAAATGAATATGACTCGATAATAATCATTGAAACCTACCGTGGATTCCACGGTAAGTTCTGCTTTGCCGAAAACGTCCGTAGCAGGTGCTCCTGTCGGTACGAGTATCCGTCAGCGATGTCGGAAATCTACGGCACCAGTCGCCGATGAAAATTCCAGCAGGTGCTAACTTTCAAGTTAAGAGATCGAGGCATGACTAGATCAATATTGTAGCTCTATTTGTCCGATATTTGTCCGATTGGAGGTGAAATTTGATGTTTTTGTGGAAGTATGATGGCTGTGGTCTGTCTCCTATCGCAGATATTTTGATTGTGCCACCGCATGGCCAGTTGCATGGGGTGGCCGCAAACCGGCACGTAATTACGTGTTTTTTCTGGTTTGCGGCGGGGGGTGTTAATACACACATAACATGCGAGATCGTGTATGATGGTGTGTGTGCTGATGTGTGTACCCGCTATGACCCGATAGTTTCTAGTAGTACTTACCCCCGGATGGGATGATCCATTCGAGGAAAAGGTGAAATTGTTTAAAACTTGACAAATTTACCGTAGCAACAGATAAACATGAGAATTTGGGTTACCCGTAGTAATTTGGTACATGCTTTCATCGTGACGTAGCGCATAAAGCTTTGTGACGTACGCGTGCCGCAAACCGGTAATGCGTGCCCGCAAACCGGGGAACTCGAAGCATTTCGAAACGTGGTCAATGCTGAACACGCTGTGGGTCAGTTAGGTTATTTGTGACTTCTATTTAATAAGTAAGTATATGGACTCTTTATTGAGGGTATTGAAGTATTCTGTGAGTATTCCAATAAAAATAGAATCGGCAGTTCCCGCCGATCGGCCGCAGACCGGAGCCACTACTCTAGTCTAGCGCCCAAAAAGCAATTTATTTTTATTAATGACAAAGGCAGAGTTTTTGTAAGAAATTGGTCATTAATTGTGGATCCCAAGACAGAAGTAAAGTGACAAAACAAACATTCAACAATTTCATTTAATTCAATCTAATTCACTCGATGTCGAGTCAAGCCAAGCCAAGGCATTGCATGCATATGATATCAGGTGCTGGCAAGGCAAAGCTCACAGCACAGGCCGCCGCCGACGGGACTCGCAGCTGCACCTTCGTAACGGCATTGTCATTGAACTGTATGTACATGCAATGCAAATGCACAGTCACTCAGCTAGCTCAGTTCAGTGGCACTGCCGAGAACAAAAGTTAGCGGGCCTTAAAAACATCACAAATTCACACCCCAAAAATAAAATATTAACACATGCAGAAGCAAATATTACGTGTGACAATATCGAATTGTATTAAATATCAATTTACCTCTCCATCTTCCCAAATTGACTTATCTTCAAGATTTGTGGCGGCCATGATAACGTGATACAGCAGAATACATACACAAGTAAATGGGGTGAATTTAGAAGGCTAGAATAGTACTAGTAACTTGCTTGTTGTCTTGTATATGGCCAATTTGAGGATAGCCCCTGCGAAAATATTTTCCAGTTCTGTAGCACTCAACTTTTGAAAACCCTGATACTGCATGATAGGCCCAATAGACAAGACCAAATCCTTAAATAACGTAACCCCTAAAGACAGAGGCGGCCCTCCCGGTGGGCAGGGGGGCACAGTGCCCCCCACTTTTTCAGATACCCCAAAAGTGCCCCTTTTTACATAGGAAAAGTGCCCCTTTTATTTTGTAAGAAGTGCCCCTTTTACATAGGAAAGGTGCCCCTTTTACTTTGACAAGTGCCCCTATTACTTACTAAAAGTGTCCCTTCCCCCTTTTCACCTCTGACGAGTGCCCTTTTTATTTTTGACCCTTGCCCCTTTTCCTTCGACATGTTCCCATTTTCTTTTGCAATAAGTGTCCATTTTCCATTCTCATAAATCTTGAAATTATTGTGACGGTTGCGTGAATCGGGAAGAAGGGGGGGGGGGGAGGTTTGATAGAAATCCCACCGCTGCCACCATTTGTGACGGTTCTAGCGTGAATCGGGAAGAAGGGGGGGGGGGGGAGGTTTGATAGAAATCCCACCGCTGCCACCATTGTGACGGTTACGTGAAATCAGGGAAGAAGAGGGGGGTGGGTTTGTTTGATAGAAATCCCACCGCTGCCACCATTGTGGCGGTTCTAGCGTGAATCGGGAAGAAGGGGGGGGGGGAGTTTGATAGAAATCCCTGCCACCATTGTGACGGTTCTCGGGAATAATCGGGGAATCGAGGGGGGTGGTTAATAATATTCCACCATTGTCCCAAAATCATCCCCATCGCTACATAAACCTTCTCCTAGCTGCTACCATTATAGCGAATTCTATCAATATAGGGAATACAAGTAAAACAGGTCTGGAAAGAAGACTACATTAATAACCACTTTTATGTCAGTCTCTTATACCATGAATTACTTCATAATTCTGACGGTTGCTGCCACCACCTAGTCTTTAATCTGGAGCGCTAGGATCTCCAAAACAACACGGTTTGTGTGTTTACATTCACTCTGTAATCTGATACACTCTCACTTATACACAGATTCCTAAGAAACCGGACCGTGCGTCCTTCTACTACTAGTATACCCTTCAGGCGCGGATCCAGGATTTTCCAATAGAGGGGGCCGGACATTTGAAAATTGCGCAGACCGTTTTTTTCAAGGTCATATTAGAAGCACCATACCGGTACAATTTTTGACATTTTCATCGGGGGGGGGGGGGGGGGGGGGGGGGCTATAGCCTATTGCCCGAAAAAGTAATTTTCTGATTTCACAAATGGCTAGTGAGCGAGCAACAATTTGAGCATCATATTGTGAAAGTGTTATTTATCACTAATCAACGAATAGTCTTCTTTCTCTAATAGTTTAATGAAACGTGAAAGCTTCCGCGCTTCGCTTCAAGGATTAAGCATTAAGACTAATAATTTAATAAAAAGTCAAAGCTTCGCGCGGGAGCGGGAAAACTGAATTCAGACAAGGATTAAGAGTCGAAAACAGTACAACGAATCGTCTTCTTTCTCTAATTTAATGAAACATCAAACTTCCGCGCGGGAGGGGCATTGAATTCAGAATAGGATTAAGAATCGAGAACGGTACAACGAGTCGTCTTTCTCTATTGGTTTAATGAAACGTCATAGCTTCTGCGCTTCGCGCGGGAGGGGCGAAACAAGAAGTAAGAGTCGGGAATGGTACAATGAATCGTCTCCTTTCTCTAATAATTTAATGAAGTGTCAAAGCTTCCGGGGGGGGGGGGGGGAACTGAAAAATAACTTAGTTCCTGGCCCCGGGTTTATAGGGTTAAATTTGTAGACATTGGGACATTGGCATCAACATATTCTCAAATTTGCCCCATGCCCCGACTCCATCGTCTTTCATTACGGTGGTAGAAATAATGTAGGGTACCTGTTACTATACATAGCTGCTCCGACTATAAATAGGCTCTTTAGATGATCACACAAGGGAACATGTTAAGCAACAGTGGAAAAATATAGGTAAAAAGCCGGAGCACCTTATCAAAGGACAATTTCATATTCGAAAGGAAAAGGGACACTTATCAAACGAAACAAGGGGATCGTACTTATCATGTTTCAAAGGGGCATTTATCGGAGGTGATAAGGTGCACTTATTACAAAGGAAAAGGGGCACGTGTAAAAGTAAAAGATTCATCTACCAGATTTTGATACGAGCACTTATGAGAAGGAGAACGGGCACTTATTGAAAAGAGAAAGGGACAATTATATCTAGAGTAAAAAGAAACACTGCTACCCTCAGCCCCGCCCCCTCCCCATCCCTATCTCCATCCTCTACCTATACATTTTCTTCGCATTGCTGCAGAACTTGTAATCAAAGCCCTGCTAGTACATTGTATATTTCTTTTTTCTTTCTATTTTTGAAGGTTTGCTATAATGTTCTAAAATGGAAAGCCACCCACATTGTGAAAAGCCACAAACACAAGACTGGTGTCCAAGAGATTAAAAACCCACTTAAATAATGACCCACACTAGTCAACAATTCAAAAGCTAAGAAACAAAGCTTAAAGTCCTCGCACTTTTAAACTTTCCAAAAGCTTGGCATAACAACACAAACAATAAAATGTGCATATCACGACCAAAACATATGTTTGAAGTTTTTAATCACTACTTACACATTTGGTTAACAAATTCACTAGAACTTATGCATTATAAAACATGATTTTGTTTATAAATCTAACACCTTCCAGCAAAGTTGTTAAAAAAAACAAAGCATAAACTTACTGTTATGAGGAATTCATTGATCGTTTCTTGTGCACAGAAATGGACAAATCACACATAACACTACATTTAATATAAGCATGTTGTATAGGCATGAGCTAAATATAAGTAAATGTACTGAAGTGTAGTGTAACTGGTAAACATGAATATGCTCCTCTATGTATGTTTTACATTCTCCTTAGTAAAATAAAAATTTCACAAAGTCATGGAAGCATGTTATCTTTCAAAGACACAGTATATATATATATACACATTTGAAGTGTACTAATTTTTAAAAATGTCCTTAAAATATTTTTACACATCAAGATTAGCTACATGTATATGTGAAAGACTCAATATTACTATAAATGCACTTATTGCTAAGGCTAAATCTTAGATATTAATTGAGTGAATTTACCACCTACACGATTACAAATATTTAAAGAACTAAAACCAACAACAAACATTACACATTGAAAATCAAAATAATGATTGCATTGCTCAAGAGGCTATCTACATTTGGTGGTGCACATGGTTATCCTGACTGTTCTCAGAAAATATAAGTCTTGTATGAAGAAAAACGTTTTTGAAAGACTTTCCGTACAACCATGGCTGATCCCACACACCTTATTATAACATATAATTTTCTCTACACCACACTAATATGTCTATATAAAAAAATACTATGACTTGAAGCTCAAAATATCAAACTTTCAAATATCCTGTAATTGTTTAGAACAAGAAAAGACACAATTTTACTTCAGCTCCTTCAGCTCATAGGCCTATCATCATGAGTACTGGATCAATACTGAGTGTGCTTTGAGCACAGTCAAATATCAATATTCACATGATTCAGTTTAATTATATTACAGATATTCTTTTACCATCAATGAGGAGTACTATCATTCTAAATTGCTTTTCAGTCAAATAAAAATTCACCAGCAGAAAAAATAGAAGGCAATTTCTAGAAGGCAATTTCTTTTCACTGAGCATACACATAATTTCAAACAATTTTTTATTACAAGTGATCATAATAAAGCCATAAATCTCTCTTTTTCTTTGTCTCCCTCTCTTATTTCCTCTATCATGATCATCACAGAAACTTGACATGATCAACAAATATTTATCTGAGTAATTTGAAATGCAATCTCTGCCAAATTCAATAAGAACTAAAGAGTATTTCGATACACAGAAATACATTTTTCCAAATACATAACAACAAATTAGTTACTTATCTTTTTCACTACTTTTCAAAGATAACATTTGATTCCATTTAAACTGGTTGAATTTATATAAGCTAGGGTCAAATTCTAGATGTAAAATACATAATTTATTTTATATCCTAAATTCAGACTGATATTTCATTATAGTCAAACAAAAGCTTTACCATACTTTACAATGCTATAATTTAACATGTTAAAAAAAAGTACTGTGTAGCACTTACCAGGGAACTAATCAGTATTTTAATATTTCTTTCTATATTTCTTCCTCACATCAACATAAACACTGGAATTGTTAGTATCATATATATATATATATATATATATAAAGTTTGACAAAACAACCTGATATAAGATTCTTATTTAAAAAACAATATGTTTCAAATAAATAGAAAATAATATCTACGACCTATATCCCATATTTCAGAAGAATATTTTAAAAAATTGAAAATGTATAACATGTTATAAATTTGCATTAAATGCTTTTAAATTGCATTTAGAGAGTTGTAGAATATAAACCCATTTCTACATGTGTATCTTCTCGTAAAGTAATTATTGATTAAAAACAACAACAATTGAGTTTAAAGCTACATCAGAACATTGCAGTGTTAGTTCAGGGGAAAAGACCTGTCATGCCTAACAGGCCATGCTATGTTTCTATGCATCCTCCCTCTCCATGATACTAATGCACAAAAAAGATAAATATAACTAAACAGACATTGTTCAAATGAAAATACAAACACATTTACACAGCACACTATATGCTAACAATTTTTTTTTCTTTCAGCCTTTACAGTATTTTTAAGGACAAATTAAAATATCCTTGTGATCAATTTGCACAATTACTGAACCAACTCTTTTAAAAACTGGGTTTTCATAATGAAAACCTATCACTTGGCTACCCTGTACACATTACATCCAATGAATTGGCAGGACTACATTTGATCAATCATTGAAAATAACTATATAGGAAAATAGATAGGGTTATAATTAGAAATAAAGTTTTCATAACTTATCATCTGTCAGCCCTGTTTTCAGAACATACATGTACACCTATTTGGCTATCATTCTAAATAAGCCATATCAATTTGAGAAATTAGACCTAAGGTGAACTTAATCGCAAGGTATGATAACACATTTGAAGTAGACAACAAAATGGGTATCTGGGAATTTAGGGTGATGAGATATGCAATGTACTATCTGGATCATGCACATTTTGATGAAACTCTCAAGCAGCAAACTCATTGTCACCCAACCCCGGGATGACTCAACAGAGCTAGCATAACAATACCCAGTACATCAACAGGATGACATCTTCCAATATTAAGGGGATATCCTGATTGGAAGGAGACAGATACTAGCTACATACATGTACATGTAGTCTGATAATCTTGCATGAATAGTACATGGAGAGAATACTGGTACCAGGGAGTTCATTAGGGATTGGAAAATGATCCATGGAAACAATACATGCTCAGGAAATTTGACAAATGAGGGTAAAATACTGTGCTTCCTTTACTAAACTGAGTGATCAACTTCAATTGCTCCTATTCCATGATAATAGCATTTATACAGTTGTAAAAACAGGATATTTGTATTGTCTTCTGTATTGTACTTTATTGATCTCCAAACAATTATTTGTCAAATTGCTGCCGTCTTAATTTTAATTGTGTACTTCTCTCTACAGTAAACATTTTATGTCCCTGTCATTTTTTCAAGTCTCCCAGGAACCTATTCTTTACAAGCTCTGCTTTTCTATAGGTTCCTGCACATTTCACAGTTTGTACTTTTGTCTGGGTTTTCCTTTAAATGATATTAGTTGTCAAACAACTGTGATTACATGTAACTTTGTTCATTACTATAATCATTTTTTAAAATTATGAAACCATATGTCTTTTATGTATATTTTGTTATCTGTATTATATTTGTGAAATATATGTGAAATGTGAAACCAATAAACTCAACTCAACAAAATTAGAATATGGCACAAAGTAAAAAAAGAAAAAAGAAAATAAGCCAAGAGATCTATACATGAAAATTCATCTATGTGTGAGAAAAAAAAATCATCAATCAGATCATTTTTGCAGTATCAAATATGCAGCTAATATACAAGCAAATCATTCTAATATAGATACATCATACAATGATACGAACTAGATTTGTTACAATTTAAGCTACGTTAAGGATCATCTCTGATCTCTTTAATAAAAGGAATTGCGCATCTCTTCCCACTTACTCTTTCTAATCAGGTTTTGCTAAAAAAATAACATTTACAGACATACATGGTCACACAATATGGACATTTAAAAAATTGACTCTGTGGTTTGGCTATTTCATAACAGCGTAATTCATTACCTTTAAAACATGGACGACAACATCCGCAGTGAATGTTTGCTCTGAGATATTCACATAACAAGTCAACGCAAAGCGTAGCATCCCCTCGCAGGGTACAAATGGCCTAAATACGTCAGAACAAGTTACCTCCATTGGACTATACTATTATATTACAAGGCAAGGAAGTTAACGACATTTTCACATATATAATTAGGTGTTTTTGCATATTTAATGAGCTATGACCTTTCACCTTTCACCTACATACTCAGAAATCGAACTTCGCCTGTATTTTGATATCATGTACCTTCATATCAAATTTCATTATAATCCGTCAAACATTACTAAAGTTATCAATCGGAAACCAGATGTGTATTTTTACACATATTTAATGAGCTATGACCATTGACCTACGTACTCCAAAATCAAACTTCGCCTGTATTTTGATATCATGTACCTTCATATCAAATTTCATTAAAATCCGTCAAACATTACTGAAGTTATCGATCGGAAACCAAATTTGTTACGAACGCACGCACGCACGCACGCACGGACGGCAGCGTATTGAATTGAAACCAGATTCGCATATTTAATGAGCTATGACCTTTGACCTAAATACTCCGAAATCAAACTTAGGCTGTGTTTTGATACCATGAACCTTCATATCAAATTTCATTAAAATCCGTCAAGCAATACGAAAGTTATGGATCGGAACCAGATTTGCATATTTAATGAGCTATGACATTTGACCTTTGACCTACGTACTCTAAAATCGAACTTAGCCTATCATGTACCTTCATATCAAATTTCATTAAAATTTGTCAAACATTACTAAAGTTATCGATCGGAAACCAGATGTGTATTTTTACACTTATTTAATGAGGTATGACCTTTGACTTTTGACCTACGTACTCCAAAATCGAACTGAGCCTGTATTTTGATATCATGTACCTTCATATCATATTTCATTAAAATCCGTCAATCCGTCAAGTTATCGATTGGAAACCAAATTTGTTACCAACGGACGCACGCACGGGATAAAAATGAGTGGAGGTATGAAAACTACCCCAAAGGCACCTTGCAGAAAGACGTGACTGGCTGAAGGCTTCGTTGCTGCCGGGCCACCTGCCCCTACAGAGGACGGGTGTTACTTTAGAATGCGGCTTTGTGTAACTCGGCTACCTTCGTGAGTATGGCTGTGTGACTGGCAAATAGAGGGATCTCGGAGCTGACTCGCTGCCACGTTACACTCTGAGCATCGTCGCTAGCCTGTAAACAAACAAAATTAGACAACATGATTATACAATTTATATGTTCACTGAATCTTAAAAGGACAAGTCCAAGGTTTGTGGTCATTCGCTGCCCCATATGTCAACAACATTACAGAAAAAGAAATGAATAGCAACATCTCAGAAGCCATTTTTCTTGATATTTTGTCATATTGTGCTCTTAAATGGCTGTGCTTGATGGAATCATCATGTATAATAAAAACTTTGATGATGTCAGTAACAGGGACAAAATATCTTGCACTTGCCCAAAAATTTTAAATAGTCTAGTTCACACAGGTTAATGTAAATTCATGACACAGAAATATTACTTTCCTAAATCTGTAAATTATTTAATATAGGATTTTCCGGCCAAATTCGCGAGTTTGTCATTTAAATTAATTTGTCTTGCATTCAAATTCGACGTTTTTCGTGCTGTCAGATATATCTTGGGTTTATATTCCTTTATCTAGTTTTCAAATCTACATGTATGTATGTTTCATTCAAATTAATGAATAATGTGCTTCTTTCGCTATTTGGTCATTCGATTTGGCGCAACACGATTTCTGACATCGTTAAGGTGTATACTTTTAGCATTCATTTGTAGCATTCAACTTAGCACTTTGTGCACTTAAATTGATGGTCAATACAGTGTATACATTTCTCGTTTATTACACAATTTTTATAGCTCATTCTTTTTCTTTCAAGATTTTTTTTCCATGTGTATTTCATCATATTTTCTTTTCTTGCATTTATACACTTTATACACTTTTAGATTTATCTGATATTCATCATCCTTTAAGTTTGATTGTTAAGAAAAAAAAAAGACTTACATCTACAGACTTGATGGTCTCAATATTTTTGTAAATTTTCATGTAAAGAAGTTGTTTGTCTTGTGTTTCATCATAAATTTATCACAATTTCATTACGGAGGAAGGGTACAATATTGTGACTGGGGTAGGTATTTTTGTATCAATTACTTTTCCGGGGTATATGAACATGTCCGTGCAGAAATGCCATATCCCTTGATTTCGCCCCTTCTTTACCTAATGTCTGACTATACACCCATATGCATTGTCCTCAAAATTAATAAATGGAATCACAGAAAAGACCATAATGGCACATCATGCATTTTCTTCCCCCTACCATTCCCAACTGGAATAAACATAATTCGAATATGAATGACAGGTGTTCATTTTGAATGATAAAAATGACGCCTCGACAAGTGACGATTAATATGAATGCTAGTTGAGCAGTTTCTAAATTAAATGACAGGTCTATGAAACCCTTCGACCAAAATCCTAAATTAAATACCAAAACGGGAAAATTGAACGATAATTGGCATGGCAAAGCCGATCTGCGCTAACTTAAATGCAAAGTAAATGAATTTGAATGACAAAATCGTGACTTTCACCGGGAAATCCTATAGATAAGAATCCTTCATAAACAGCACACTTGCTGCAATAATTAAATTTCTTGTCATCCTTCTCTATGTATCCATACTTCATGATTTATATCATATTACATACAAGTAATACAAAATCATCTAAAGCAAAATGAATTTGTCAATCAATTTAATCCAAATTATACATTAAACATATTTTTTCAAACTTACTGTCAATCGAAATACCATAAACTACAAGTATCTCAAATAGTCATATTTAAAAAGATTATAGCACAGATGTTCAACATCTGTTTATAATCACATGAATTGAAAGCATTGATACAGATCACACACATCGATCATATACCAGGTACATGCTGCTTCGATTCTACAATCCTTTTAAAACATGATGGCATACAAAAGCTTTTACTTGGTAACACATTTTTGATTCCATGAGTGATGGTGTTCTTACCTCCAGAGTGAAAGAACCAAAGCCAGAACCATCTTCGTCGTGGAAGTTCATTGCGACCGTCTCCATCCAGGCGTTATCGGTGTTCCTTGGATCGTCCACATAACCCTTGTATACCTGAATGATGAACAAAGACATAATATTTTGAATTACAGTTGAACACTTGACATACAAATCAAAGATGGAGACAGCTAGATTGTCAACACAGAAGTGCAGTTACCCTTCCTTTCGCCTAAAAATGAGAATTACCATTGAAATTTGACCAAACATTAACGTTGTAGTAACCAGGAGATTATAATGCACATATTCACTTAATTCAGTTTCCTATGGTGATGCATGTACTAGGATGGTTAATGAGATAGTGAGCTTTAATACATGGAATGAAAAATGGACTGACAATATCAGTCTGAAAGTATAATGGCCCTAGCTCACATCACTTCCAGAGGGATTTAAAACATAAAACCTAGTACCTATTTTCCACGCCTGACCCAGGGGAGTCAATGGGTACTGTAGGAAATAAAATCCTTGAATGCTCAAGCACCTCATCAGACCAACTACGCTAGTGCCAGGATAATAATCCAAAGCTCTTTGAACACTAATAGAAACATTACTGAAGATGTGCTTTACAAATACATAATAACTATAGCTCTTTTTTTCAAAAGCACATGTTCCTTACCTCTAAACCATTCGAGAAGAGCTCCTCAACATGTTCCCCGATGCGAGCAGCTTCTTCGTCTGTCTTGTTGAGAGCACCCAGGGCCTTCTTTCCAAACTCTCTCTTCAGAGTCTCACCGACCAAATGACCTGGCTCTACCATACCCTGTATTACCAAATATAAACATTCATATTCATATTTATTTCATTTCCAACATTTCCAACATTACAAGCATATGGAGCAGGGATTCTTGATTGATTTGACGGGTGGACCAGAAATATATCTGAAATTAAGCTGCAGGACACCAAGTATTATAGACGTACTAAAGACCCATCTTGGGGTGGGGTTGGTGAAGTAGTGTCAAAATAATATCATATGTATCATATTGTCCCATGGGCCACTATCAAAGAACGAGAGATACATAGTCGATAGAGCAAAGATTGTTGAAGCTAATAATTAAATATGAAACAATGTGTTTACTGATTTCAAGTTTTAACTAGTATTCATTGACTACATAATCTCAATCATAATGAATATTGAGAAAATATTCCAGCTCTCTTCCCTGGGTTGAAACTTATCTGCCTCATAGGTAGATTATGAACAGGAAAAAACACACATTTACAACAAATATACTTAGGATGTCTACTTACACCTGGTATTGCCCATTGCTGATTATCCACTCTCTGTATAGCAATGAACTCTAGGACTGGCTTGTCTTCATCCATTAAGATGTCTCCATCTGGCTTCCTCTTCCATCTGTGAGAGAAAATAAGACGTGAAAATGATCCCAACCATCGAGGTACTACCATCTATGATTCATGGCAGTTACAACAAATTGGTCTCATTCATTCCATGTTGCAATTTACCAGTACGGACAAATTTCTTTTAGAAGCCTATGGCTAAATTTATAGGTACAATGTTGATGATGTATATGAGAAGTTGAAATACATTTGGTAATTATTGCTTGGAAATTTTATATGCCATTTTCATAAAAGTTTGACTGTGAAAGACAGAGATGAGCTGCAAATGAAGCGATGGTAAGCGCTAATTTATAAGCACCGTTTTGTGTTATTATTATTATTATGGTTATGAGCACTCAGCATCCTGATAAAGCCAGCTGAGCCAATCATTTTTGTTTTTTTACCTTGTTGCTATGGGATTAGCTGCATGGTTAGGACCCCATCTCCCTAGTAGACCCCTACCACTGAGTCCTGTACGTCCTTTGGGATTTCTGCAAGGCAAATGAAATAAATAAAACAAAACTCAAGAATTCTGAATGACAGCTGATTACTTGAAAGTTATCAAGACAAAAGGTATAGAAAACAGCAAAAGATGTGCTCCAGAAAACAGAATCTGTACTTGCCATGATTTTTGGTTATACAGAAATATCTATTAAAAAAATTCCATTTTGAATGTCATTTTTTATGGTTGGCAGTTGGCACGGTTACAATGAGTGAGCCGAAGTTGGTCCTCTGGACAAAGAGTTACATTGACCCAACATCATGTTTGTAACATTGTCATAATTTGACCCAAAGCTGGTCTAACATTATCTACCGGTATGTAGATTTCAATTTAGGGCTGACAATACCTGACATGCTACTATAAAACATCACATGATCTTCTGACTAATGAATTTTCAAGCATTTATATTGAAGTACAGTATGTCAAAGACTTGAGATGAAATACCCAACCCCAGATGCATAATTTGCAATGCGACAGTTACAAAACAATCACAGATGAAGGAGTGTGATTGTTCTAATGGATGTAAGATTATCATAATAATCTATTCAAATGACATCTAACTCACAGTGGAAGCCCGTCTTTGATTTGGTACTCCTTCATGCGACTCCTCCTGTTGTATTTACATTTCTCATCCATCTGATTGTAGAGGAGTACTGGACGTGAGTTCTTTGGCATACTCATGAGATCAATGTCTGCCCAGTGGGGACCTGCCTCTACACTCCGATGAGTGTATTGCACCGGTGTGTATTGCGGGAAAGCGGTCTGGTGGAAGACAACAAATAAGTGAAAGAGATATTAGCTCATATAATACTGGTTAACTTCGATATTATCACTAAACCCTTCACTTATCATTAACCACAAACACATGGAGTGATAGAGTTTTCAGTTTCAATTTTTGGCATTTATAATTGAACAAGTCAACGCAAAGCGTAGCATCCCCTCGCAGGGTACAAATGGCTTATATAAGTCAGAACAAGTTAATACCTCCATTGGACTATACTATATACTAGGCAAGGAAGTGAACCACATTTTCACATAAATAAATAGGTGTTTTTGCATATTTAATGAGCTATGACCTTTCACCTTTGACCTACATACTCAGAAATCGAACTTAGGCTGCACATGAATTTTGATACAGGGTACCTTTATATTAAATCGTATTAAAATTTGTCACACATTAATCAAGTTAATATCGAATGGAAACCAGATTCGCATATTTAATGAGCTATGATCTTTGACCTACATACTCCGAAATCGTACTTAGGCTGTGTTTTGATACCATGAACCTTCATATCATTTTTCATTAAAATCTGTCAAACATTGCTAAAGTTATCGATCGGAAACCAGATGTGTATTTTTTCGCATATTTAATGAGCTATGACCTCTGACCTTTGACCTACGCACTCCAAAATCGAACTTAGTCTGTATTTTGATATCATGTACCTTCATATCGAATTTTATTAAAATCCGTCGAACGTTACTGAAGTTATTGATCGGAAACCAAATTTGTTACGGACGCACGCACGCACGGAAGGAAGGAAGGATGGACGGCAGCGTTACTATATCCCCTCCGACTTCGTCGGCGAGGGGATAATAAAGGAAAACTAAAGAAAATCCTCCAACAAGATAAAACATCTACTTGGTCACTTTATTGAAACCATAGCCAAATCAAAACGTTGGGCAAGATACAAGATAATCACGAATTTGAACATCCATGTCAATCTCCTTCATGTATTCATCCAATCAAAGTAATAAACATTGCTCAATCAATCAAGAGGAAGATAAGTGTGAAAGTCCAAGGTATTTGGTCATTTGGTGTCCCATACTTTACCGAGTATTGCAGAGTTCTGAACCTAAATCAACATCACATGGGTAATTTCACTTCATATTTGGTCTCCTCTAAGCTATACTAGGACCATTAACTTAACACAATGATCAGATATACTAAAATCTGAGATGGGGTTGGGGATGTGTGGGAACACATAGCTTTGGCTGGTCCAAGTTCAAAAGTATAACATCTAAATTGACAGACTTCTAAATAACAAGGTGACTTTTAGCTTTGCACTGTCTAGATGCATTGCCTTTCAAACTCTACACATGACATAGACTTACCTCCCAAGGAACCTTGTCGTCTGGGACAGGGTATCTTTTCATCGCTGTCCCAGGATAGGGACTGGCCCGTGACTTCTCATGAATCATGATACCTAAAGCTTCTAGGGAGACAGGCACTTCAAGTCTAGATACCGGTACTTCCTCTGCAATGTCTACAGAATCTACAAAGAAGAGAAAAAGAAGAGGACGATTATAGTAAAACCACATTGGAATGCATTAAAAGGAGTAAGTTTCCCATTTAACAGGAAGACAAGGCTCAAGACTATTAGATGTTTTCATTCATGTTAAACCTATTGGCTCACTGCTGCCACCATGTTGTGTAATGGGGCATGGCCCAATGTCAAATACATAACACTGTAGATTATGAACACATTAATAAGTAGAATCTTGAGACGATAAATAGACTCACATCTTGCTTGGGTAGAGGTTTATTGGTGCAGAACAATGGGCAGAGTTACAATGATATGTGTGTGCGCATCATGTAGCTCCATTTACAATTTATGGTTTAACTGTCATAGAATACAACAATTCAAGGTGAAAAACTCTGGGAATGAGATAATTCAGTAGTCAACAGGTTAGCATTATAAACTCTCACTACATCGAGGGTTCTAGAGATAAATAATAAATCCTCCTTCCATGATTTCATCTAACATACATTGCACAAAGATAGCGATTTGTCATGATATATTTGTATATACCTTCTCTTCTTTGGATGTCCTTGAGTTTGGGTGGTGCCAATTTGACCTCCCTATTAACGCTACTTGAAAGACTTGAAAGAGCACTGATCATCCAATCCAGGGCATCATTGGTACGTTCAATCTACAATGAAAAGAAGAACAAACAATATTGATAAAAAAGAAAACATATCACAGAAATACATCCAGCAGTGACGTCAAATGAATATTTGACTTTATTTATTTATTTAATTTTCAAATAGTACCAAATGAGACAAATGTTGACAACTTATGACAATGTATTTCAAACTGTAAACGTTTTTTTGATTTTTCAACGACAAAACTAATGGTATAAAAAGAATTTCATGTCCAAATAGGTTTTAATTTGAAATTGTAATATATAGTATGGACAGTAGCTTTTGCCAATTTGTTGATATTATGCATTTCAAAAGAACTCATACACTGCATCATGATTTAAAATCAGTTTCCCTTCACATGCAAGCAACAATCACAACTAAAGATTAGCATTTAAGCTAAGAAGCTGAAACTAATCACAAAACTTCTTCAATAAGAGAAACAAGATGGGGGATACTCAGTGACGGATCCAGGGGGGCACAGGGGGCATGTGCCCCCCCCCCCCGGCCCCCCAAAATGCCAATGGCTGACCTAAAAAGGTGACCTTACCCCCCCCCCCCCCCCCAACGGAGCAAAATGTCAAATTTAAAATTTTGTGACCAAAAAAAAAAAGTGTCCTCTTAACCCCCCCCCCCCCCCTTGCTTATTCAGCGGCTGGCTGAGTCGTTGCAATTTTTTGGGGACTAAAAAAAATATATATATATATGTTCTCTTTCCCACACGGTGCCCCCCTTGTGCCCCCGGCAAGAAATTCCTGGATCCGCGCCTGATACTTACCCCGTTTTCCAAGTTGACTAGTCTTTCTTCAAAGCCCTTTCCTCCATGCATCCCAAGAGGTCCTGCTTTGCCCTTTTGATTCTCATAGTCATCAAAGACTTGGTCTAGCTTCATAATCATAGTCATGTCTTCCACTCTGTACACAAACAAATATATTATAATTCAACAAGATTGTTTTAAGAACAAACCAGGGATAACAGAAGGGAAAATGCCATACAGTCCCTAGCTATCAAAGTCTGCTCTAGCTCAACATTTTCAATAAAGAAAGATATCATGTAAAACATCAGAATGTCCCTGCATGCTCTTAGATTCATTTTGTGATTCATCAATGAATATAATTTTTTAATGGTAAAATGATATTACATGTAGGTATAAAAAATTGAAGATACAAGCAAGCATGCAATTAACACAAGAACAATTACAAAGCTTAAATTTTCTTGAAACATATAATACAAGGCTCCAACATATCATGCTCAGGGGAACGCGAATTGAGATCAGGTCTGTATGGATGAGCCCTATGTTAACTCTTGCAGTGCCAGAGGTGCAAACATGCACCTCATAATACACACAATGCCCATAGACCACCAATCTCCTTTGCACCATAAAAGTTAAGGTGTTTACATTTTGGGGGGTCCGGACCTAGATCTGGGGTGCCCACGCATCCTAGGCCCCTGCTATCGTTGAGCCCTGGATAGTGGGTCTGTAATGCATTCAAAGATGCTCCTTGATTATGTTATAAGATCTACTTAAAGGGATAGTTGAGTTCTGTTTTCAGACCGCAAATGCCTTCAAAGTGCATGGTTAATGCTCTTATTCTTATCTATGACATTTCTAGTGCCCTTTTAGAACCTAAAATTGCTATGAAGGTAATTTTAGACCCCTAAATGAGTGAAATTTAGCCAATACGATCATACTAATACAGCTCCACTTTTAACAAATTACGGTTACCATTAATTAATTATTTAATTAAAAATGAAAATACATAGGCCGGCTGGTTGTGCGTAATATAAACAACACAAAAATGCCAACAAAAAGCCAACATCGGCATTGGCTGAAATACAACTCAAAAGGCGCTATTTCGTGTTTTCAACATTCTTTTCAAATCATCTAATATTTGTGGTACACAAATATTAGAAATCGTTATATTTATATAATATTGACTGGCCTTGAGGGGTATATAAGAAATATTGACCAAGCTCAGATCATATTGCCCCGAGTCGTAGACGAGGGCAATATGGTCTTAGCGCGGTCAATATTTCTAATATACCCCGAAAGTTGAGCCAGTCAATATTGTTATTGTTATCCAAATCAGACATCTAGAGCAAATACATAAATCAACCATGACAATCTTAAAGAACTGAAAATTTAACATCATCTTACCTAATTTGTCATGCTGAACTCTTTGACATAGACTACATGTAGGTTTATCACAGATTCAAATGTACAGTGTACAGGTAAGTAGACATCTCTACTAAAAGTTGTCCAAACGGTAAAGTTTCAAAACTGTCAAAACATCCAAACGAGCAATATCCATAGGAAGAACTTTTCCTGAAAACTGGCGAAACACAGAAATCCAAAACTATGTTCAAACTGTTATAACACTCAACATATGTACATAATCTCCATGCTCAAGTTTAGTCCTTGAAGTAATTGATGGTGACATTGCAGTTATTAAATACGAACGGTGATTGTTGTACCTGCATCCTACTTGATCTGCTACTAGTTGTTATCGTTGATCCTGCAGCAACTTGCTGATTGTCCACAACTGGTTGCAAGACAACATTTACTGGTGCATGGACTGCTACTTCATGCTGGATAACGTTGGTTTCTTCACGTTCGAACTCAAAGGACAACTGCGAACACAAGTCAAAGTTAACTTCAAGGTCATCTTCTTCTTCTACTTCTAGTAACAGAGTAGGAGCAGCATGTGGAGCAGCAACAGCAAATCTCGTATTGGTAGCATTAGAAGATGAGGCCATAGTGACTGTAGCGGGTGGGGGTGGCACTGTTATCGCAGCTCGCAACGGAGTTTCCTTCTTTCCAAGGGCCTGTGCCAGAGTAGACGACATTTCACACTTTCTATCGTTGCTTACACGGCCAGTATATGAAGCCAGACTGCCTTCATTGTTGTGTCCTGACACTTGACAGATATCCCTACTTGCAAATCCTCCAGTATCAAGGATTCTGATACATGTGGCTCTAACACAGTGGTTTGTGTAGACTTTAGACAGACCAGCTTTCTTGGAAATGGTTGCCATCTTGTTGCCAAGACTATTCTTTCCAAGTGGTGTCTTCATGTACCACGGTCCACAGGATGGAGCAGAAGTTTTTGGGGTCTGGAAAAGTGTGTCGCTCCTCTCGCTAAGCTTCGAATGATACTTCTTGAAGGACGCAACAGGGCAATCAGCCCTGCCAGTTGAATACATACGCCCACCATCAGTTCGTGAAGAGAGATTGTCTTTTTTTTTTCGTCATCTCGTCTACATTTTGAGTGACAAATTCATGTCCATTCTCATCTGTTTCGATCTTGAAATGGTCTTTATTGAGTTCACGCAAATTTTCTCTTCCTCTCCTACAAAAATAAAGAGCAATCTCAAACCAAACCTTAGCTTGTAAGCCACTGGGTGTGTCTTGGTCAAATACAGTTGATGAGTACAGTTTTTGGAGATCCCCAGATGCAATGGAATCATGATGTTGCACAAATCCTTTTCCGATTTTTTTCAGTTCTACTTTGGCAGCTTTGAAAGCAACATTGCAATGTGTAAATTCAATATCTTTGATGATGTCTATAACTTCATGATATTCTGATTTCAAGTATCTGTTTATACCAGCACGAATACTGTGCAGGGAACTTGTTTTGTAGTGAGTTCCGTCGGTTCGTCGTACCTCAACATAAAACTTTGCCAGTAACGCCGCTAATTCACTCTTACCGAGAAGCTGGAAATCTGAATCATGGCCCTTCTCTGCCAAATATTCCCTGAAAACCGTCACCGATGTTTTAGTTGACTTTTTAGTGTTGAACGTATCCTTGTTTTGAAGTAATTGTTCGTATTCCTCTTCTTCTAAACTCGCGAATCTAGTGGAAGTGGAGACTGCCATGTTTGTTTTTGTTTACCAGGCGAAAGATCAACAATCAGCGAAATAAAGACAGATTCCCACGCAGCGCCAGCTTCGCCGATCAACTCGAGCGAATGAACGTCTGCGCTGCGCTATGATTTTGCGTGTAATCTCTATGGCGATTCACTGAATTGCAAGCCGGCCCGCAGTGTGTGGGAGTAATGATTTCTTTATTTTATTTTCTTCGCCCTCAAGTGCCCGGATGCGAGACCGTGGAAAATACCAAGGTATATTTTCCCTCGTCTCTACACGCAAAGTCAATACGCGCAGGGAGACCAAGGAAAATACAAAGAATATACCCCTCCGTTCCCACTGCTAGTGAAAACTAGGGCAATACGGTTTTGTAAATGACCAGCTCAGATGTCTGATACGGGTAATAATCATGGATATTTCAGCCGTCTCTGAACCGATTTTGATCAAACAATGATGATTTTGTCATTTAAATTGTATGTTCTTACAAATTTGACACTCAGTTTTTCATTATCTCACAAAAAAGTTATTTTGTGTAGTGCCCTCTGCAACAGAACTCACTATCCCTTTAAAGGATTCCGGTAACTTTGTCTCAGATCCTTTAAAAAAAATCCTTGATTTAGCTCATGCTGCAATCATAATTATAAACCTTTAGGTCAGTCAGGATTCCCATGACATCTGATTATCAAGATATTTATGATTGGAAATCGAAATCAATTTTTGCGTTTTCCTATTAAATGGTTTACGATCCTAACACTACAGTCTATTGGGGAAAATGAGTATGGTAAAACCGGTCACTCAAAGATTTTTTTACTGTTTTGAGGAACTTCATGATCATTTTGAAGTGCAATTATTTTAGGGCTTCAATATTACACCATATCACAAATACTGATAGCACGTAGGCCATGCATCTCAGATTTACCATTGTTAAACGATGCCTTTAAGAGCTACCAACCTGTCACCAGCTACTTTGACTCTCTCATTCGGGTCCTGTTGCACCAATTTTCTCCGTTTGTCCTTGTACTTAACTGCATTGCTGCCTTCCCATGGAACAATCTTAAGGGTATTTCCTTTATCAATCAACGATAGCTCTACAAAGGACGGTCAAACATTGACCAAACAAAATATGGTTAGTACTAGTATCATGATATTGTACTCTTCATTATAATATTACCAGTATTACCTGGTGTACACGCCTTTTCTCGCATTCGATGAGCATTGGAATTTTTGTTTCTGTAAGTTTCATCAAATTTCATCAAGAATGAATGTAAACCAATCCTATATCAGGTTCTGAGGTTGCGGACTCTAGACACTTTAAAGGAAAGAATATAACTGATTTAACATTGACTATTGCTCTGTCCATCCAAGGCAACAATCATCCAAATGGGTGGAAAACTGTGATTTGATTGCACAATGGTACGAGATATCTATTGATATCCAGTATCCACTTTTCTCTCTTTATTTAAGTGATTGCTATAAATCCTCTGCAATATGTTACTGATCTCAAAGGGAAAGTGATTGATGCCAATGATTGCAAAATCTTTGAAGAAGATACATGTACAATCTAAACTTAATCTCTAATGATAAAGTAACCATGCTTACTAGGCCATGGGCCGAGCGCGATTTTAGGGCTTAGTTTTCTTTTTTTGGACTGACTTTGTGGTACATAGTTTTTGGTGACCAGAAATTAGGATAAAAATACACAAAAATCCCAAATCAGCTTATCCCCGCGACTGAATCCTTGTCGTTCGTATAAAACATAAGTTTAATTGACAAGTTATTTTAGAGAAATGTGCGTGAACGAGACCGACAACTCTCCGTTCGTACACGTGTATAAACTCACCGTGCGACGAGAGTGAAACAGCACATTCTCCGTCTCCGTCGTACAAAGAAATTATGTAATCCATTCGAATATTTCCCAAAGCTAATCACATTTGCTGATGTAAATAATATGATTTGGCAATATCGTGAAATAGGCCCCGCAACTTACCCGTCTTGTAATCGATTACAAATCATCTTAGACTTCTAACTTCAGTCTTCTGGGGGGGGGGGCAAAAAAAAAAATTAAACTAAAAGATAAATTTAAAGAGAGGGGGCCAAAATATTAAAAAAGGAAAAATATTTAAAAAAAGGAAAAATATTTAAAAAAGGAAAAATATTTAAAAAGGTAAAAAATTAAATAAGGAAAAATATTAAAAAAGTAAAAATATCAAAATAGGGTCTAAAAGATAAATTTAATCATTTAAATGTAACCCTTTTTAATAATTTGCTAGCTTTATTCATTGAACCTCAAAACACCCCCTAAATTATACTTTGGTGAAAGAAGCCCTACTACCGTGCTGTCCGTCTTGAAAATGCATAGGATGGGGCCTTGTTCACGAGTATACAGTATAGTCGTGATACAGGCCCCATGTCCGTGTCGTAGAACATGTTATATGCCTCACTTAAGAAATCCAGCCTTCTGATTGGTCGAAATTGCATTCATAAACTTTAACTATTCCTGTAAAATTCCTGGTAAAATTCCAAACCCATGTAATAGTTCTAAAATTCCAGTAACCATGGTTACCGGGAAAATAGTTCAGTCTTGGTGAAATACCCATAGGTTTACATGTTAAAAAATGGTCTGAGCGATCGAGGATACCGTACGTGTGAGAAGAATTGGTCGGTAATTTCAATACAATTGAATCTCGATCGATCTTATCGACAATTTTATCTTGCATTGTTGACATGAAGACGTAAATAAAATTCCAAAAACAACATCTGCCGATAGATCTTGATCTAAGTTCGTGCCAATATGCATTGCAAAAGTAAAAGAAGGGCCCGTTTAATGGAGCTGTCGCGAAGCATCCAGCACACGAAGCCGTTTTCAATCCATTTTAATGTATATATCAGTGAAAACTCCAAGGTATGGTAACAGTGCGCGATGGCCGAGCGGTCTAAGGTGGTGATTTTAGTTACATCACCATTTGTACGCAAGAGATCGAATCCCATCTTCGACAAAAGTTGTTTTATTTTTTATTTTTTATTTTTTAGTCTACTCTCAAAGATACTCTCATAAAAAACAACCGTGCAGATTAACTAGATAAAGGCCAAGGTGGTATCATAAGTATTAATGACTGCTTTAATATTCGAGAAATAGTTGTTTTTATACGCTCTCGGGAAGGTTACAATTGGACTATTGCCCTCGGCACGCCTCGGGCAATAGCACAATTCTAACCTTCCCTTGAGCGTATAAAAACAACTATTTTTCTCAAAGCAGTCATTAATACTATACAACACCGTTGCGCGGGGCCTATATCACGAGTATATATAGCAAGTTGAATAGGAGACTCGTATAGTATACTCGTGATACAGGCCCCACGGCTGTGTTGAAGCGCGCGCGATGTCGTAGCGCGGGGCCTCGATAACGAGTATATAAGTATAGTCGTGATACAGACCCCGCTGCTGTGTTGAAGTGCGCGCGATGCCATTGCGCGGGGCCTCGATCACGAGTATATATAGTGAGTTGGCTGAAGTTAGAAGTCTAGTATAAAATTATAATCGATTCAAAACAGTTGCGGGGGCTATATCACGAGTATGCCTGTGGTTTTGCAAATATGAACTGCGAAAACTAATGAAAACCTTGTCAAGGTGAAAATATTTCGAAAATGGGCGGTCATAGCTACCATGAAACAGATAAGAAATAGCGCGTTGCCAATTTGATATTATTGTAAGGATCGTATGCAATTCTCTTGAATGTACTTACTCTATGTAAAGATCAGTGGCCCCGTACCGACAAGACTCGAGTAATTTTTGTGTAATTAAAACTTTTGATGAAAACATTTCTTGTATTAGCAATGCAATGGTAGTTTAAGAATAGGCCTACAGAATTAGAGTCCTTAAATATTCATTGTAACTATCAAAAAAGATATACATGTATGTCTTCTTTTTTTTTCCAGTCCTGTAGAACTTTTTACATGTTTTCAAATGTTTTATTCTTTTGATTTTTTTTGTTGTTGATTTTTTTAATTTTTAATTTTTTGTTGGGGGGGGGGGGGGGGGAGTACTCGCTTAATAAAAGGGTATACGGGGATGTGGGTGATTTTTCTTCCTGGAGGAAGAAATATGACAATGTTTATTCAAATTACACTGCATTCACTGGCTTAAAAATTGATAACAAATACATGCTGTGGTATATATGTGAAGTGTACAAAATGATGATGTATATGTTATGTCGTCTGGATTTTGAAATCATGTGATGTTATTATAGTTATACAGAATGTTTTCATACATGTTTGGTTTACAGACATTTTATTTGTCAGGACTTATACATTTTTGACTAAACATATGGTGACAAGGTTTATATCCTTTCCCCCGTCTTCCTGTCAGATCTGTATACCAGAAGCCGATTCTTACAAGAAACACTCAATAATATTGTTTAATAAGTAAAATACACAGATTTTAGAGCATATTTTCTGTTAGTTTTGTTATGTTTTGATAAACTGAATGCCCATCTATGTATGTGCGAAGAACCATTTACTGGATGAGAATGTGAAATGGAAGATAAATGTCAGTATGCAAAAGCTTCCACTTAACCAAAAATAAATAAATATACTTGTATATATGAGACATTCATTTGAAGAAGAAAAAATCCTCCTCCAAAGGGGATGGGCCGGGAAAATTCATTAAACATACTGACATTTATCTTTCATTTCACATTCTCATCCAGTAATGGTTCTTTACATATACATGTACATGGGCATTCTGTTCATCATAACAAAACAAACTATAATAACATCACATGATTTCAAAATCCAGACAACATAAAATTATACATCATCATTCTGTACACTTCACATATACCTCAGCATGTATTTGTTATAAATTTTTAAGCCAGTGAATGCAGTGTAATTTTGAATAAACATTGTTATATTTCTTCATCCAGGAAAGAAAAGTCACCCTCATCCCGTATACCTTATTAAGCGCGTCCCCCCCCCCCCCAAAAAAAAAAAAAAAAAAAATAATAATAATAATAATAATAATAATGTAATCAAACATTTGAAAACATGTAAGAACTACTACAGGGCTGGAAATAAAAAAATATATAATATATAAATACATATATTGTTTTTTATAATTACAATGAATATTATGGGACTTTAATTCTGCAGACCTATTCTTAAAGTACCATTGCATTGCTAATACAAGAAATGTTTTCATCAAAAGTTTTAATTACACAAAAATTACTTGAGTCTTGTCGGTGCGGAGCTCTACACGGATCGAGTGTACATAGTACGTACATTCAAGAGAATTGCAATGCGCTATTTCTCGTCTGTTTCATGGTAGCTATGACCGCCCATTTTCGAAATATTTTCACCCTGACAAGGTTTTCATTAGTTTTTGCAGTTCATACTTGCAAAATCATATCATTTACATCAGCAAATGTGATTAGCTATGGGAAATATTCGAATGGATTACATAATTTCTTCGTACGACGGAGACGGAAAATGTGCTGTTTCACTCTCGTCGCACGGTGAGTTTATACACGTGTACAAACGGAGAGTTGGCGGTCTCGTTCACGCAAATTTCTCTTAAATAACTTGTCAATTAAACTTATGTTTTATACGAACAACAAGGATTCAGTCGCGGGGATAAGCTGATTTGGGATTTGTGTATTTTTTATCCTTTTATAACATTATCTAAATCTTGTACCGGAATCTATGCAACGAACTGGAACGAAAATCGCGCTCGGGCCACGGTCAGGTATCTTTGAGTGGGTGCAAGTTCTATGACACCATTGTATGGCATAGTAGAAATGAGAGACCAAGATGAATGGTGGTATGAGAGGGGGGACGGTTGAAGTATTCTATGATCAGACGGTAGCGCTGGATCTTCGAGATGGTGTCGGTGTTGTCTTGGATGGCTGAAAAGGTGTAACTGCATAAAAGAAGGCAACATAATTATTATTGATAAAGTATGAAATCATTTGTAAACAGACAAAAATTAGTAGGAAAGGAGGATCTGCAGGTGGCTGAAGACAAGAAAATGTCAGAAATCAATGTCATTAAAGGCTTAAAAAATTGAATCAACCAGACAGGATCTCAAGAAAAATCAAAAGAAGAGCAAGGACTGGAAGAGGGAGTGGAAGGGGATTACGTATAGCTATATTGCTGCACTTGATAAGTGCCAATCCAAATATAATTGCAGAATTTGAATATAATGTTGAGTAATCATACCTAAGTGTGTTGTGAGGTATGGTTAAAATTTGAAGGCACTATCTGACATCAGTAAAGAGATTAACTTGTCAGAAATCCCCATTATCAAGTGGCAATGCTTAAGAACTCGTTGACCTGACTGACCTGAACATGGCAATGAGCAGATTGAGAAGTAGAACATTACTGATCATCATGTAACCAGCTAAGAGGACAATACCAATCCAGGAATGTTCAGGACATGGGAAAAAGTCCACACCATCAACCAGAGTGGAATTGTCTGTGCAGTCAGAACCTATAGAAGCAACAAGAAGAAAGATCATTATGATACGAGGGTCAAAATTAGAATTATTTGAATGGGAAATTTCTTTGGGGAGGGGGCTTTTCCCTCACTGCTATTTTAAGACGTTAAAACGTTTTACACAAATTTGTCTTTTAACCCTATGTAGCCCGGGCTATTTTGAAACTGCATAGCCCAGGGGGGGGGGGGGGGGGGGGGGGGGGGGGGGGGGCTTCTAAGGCCCCACCCCCCCCCCCCCCCCCCTATGATCTCGGCCGTGAAACGACCGATCGCCGCAAAAATTTGCATACATGTCAAGTGAAGTGTACAGAATACTATGGTAATTTCAATTTTTTGAAAAATTCACTCATTTGCATATTTATGGTATTTTATGCAAATAAGGTCATAAAATTCACATTTTTGCCCATAAATCAGACATTATTCATATTTAAGCATTCTTTTTCACTACATATATTTGTTAGACCATTTGGAATAATAATACAACACAAAAAATTGAATAACCAGGGATATTCCTTATGTTATCTCTTGTTTTGATAATTTCTTATGTATTTCTTTGTTTTTTTAACTTGTGTATTTTATTGTTTTTGTTTTTTTATTTCATTTCCAACTATAATTCAACTATTTTGACCCCAAAATAAACACCTTAACAATAAACAAGACCAAATAACCAATGTTTTATCTCTTTATTTGAAAAATGAGATTTCCATATGTTTTGTACACAAATCACAAAAATGAGCGATTTTCGGGCTGACATGCAAAGACAAAAGGACACGTGACTTTGTAATGGTAGGTTCGATTTTCGAAAAATTTCTTTCAAAAGATGCGCAAGACTCGAAAGAAAAAAGTCACAAAATTTCAGTGCAAGATTTTTTTTGCGTTAAAAAATTATCGCGAAAAATGTCGAGGGGGGGGGGCTTCTAAAGCCCCCCCCACCCCCCCCCCCCCCCCCCCCCCCCCGGGCTAAATAGGGTTAACAGGTACCCAATTACGACAACTGGGTCGAGAGAGGCAATTGCAGACATGTCATGCAGCAGAACACATGCACTTAACAAGCATTTGTGACCCTCAACCTTGTGACTGAATATCTAGTGCATGAATCACAGTGGTGAGCTTGGCATTAATTACCTTCAATGACTTCAAGAAATAGCTCTCCAAAGATCTGGAAGTATGACCTCATCAGGATGCCTCTCATGATGACACTGACGTTGGTCTCGTTAGGAAAGAGAATGGCTTGAGATGCGATCCCGTAACCAATGAGGAACACACATAGGATGGCCACAAAGAACATCAGGTCAACCATCTGACAGGGAAAGAAAAATCAGATATATCTATTTACAATCGAAGGCAATTATAACTGAATAATACCCTGTCAAAGATATTCACTAATGATAATTTACAAGATTATTCATTGCATATGTGCACATATATATTATTTATAACACATGTTTTTAAACATCCTACTATTGAGTATTCTGACACATTGTCTGGGCCTAAAATGTTTGTTTTTTCTTCAATAAGCCACAGTATGTCTTAAAAACAAGCATAAGTAATGTACAGCTCCATTGAATTGATAAGAGTAAGTAATTATTAATTGCATTATTTGGTGAAATGACTGTAGTGAGATTGCTGTTTCTAATGAATAATATTCTTGTGTGAGTTGGTTCCTTTGGGAATCTGAGACATTACAACTTACATCTATTTGTCAAATGTGGACATATTATGCTTCAGTGATAATGACTCTGTGCCAAATTTACAACCCTGGAACTAGCATTATACCTACCTATCACTGACCCTATACCCAACCTGAAACCAAATAGCAACCCTAGCCCTCTGACAGAAAAAGCTGGAACAAATATCGCCAGAATTTATTTTGGATCACAAATCTAGAAGGTACTTCTTTATCGGCTTTGGTCGATCAATGTAATAAACAAGCTAGGGACTGCCAGCCAAGTCTACTTCTTCCACATGTATGCTATACTCCAACAATATATGGCAATCCATCATTTTGATCTTAAAGGGACTTTGTAACATTGTTCAGATGAGAGATAGTAGTGCTAAGGTAGTGACTTCAATGCTAGATGTATAATTAAAGATAATCTTAAAAATTTGAGTGAAAACGGATCATTAATCATGGTACAAATTGGGAAAAACTGATCTGATCGATTACTTAATTCTCCCAACTATATTATTCTACTTCTATTCTGCTACTTGTCAAAGCCTGTTCAGCATCAAGACAAGGACAATTTAATTACATTTTAGGTGAATGTAAAATCGTCACAAAGCAATAAAATGGCTCTACATTCCATTCCAGACAGTTAAGTGTTGACAGATTTTTATAGCCTGTTTTATGTATTTTTGTCATGGAAAAAAGGTTGGGAAAATTCAAAAAAAGGTTGGGAGAATTTACTGTTAATCACTGTTAGAGGGTGCCTCACATCAACGCCTTCAAAGAAAACCATAGATATCTTTGTGGTTTGAGAATTTGTTCAGGATTTTTTGCATGTCAGAGAGTTAGTATAGTAGAAGGAATATAGTAAGTAACATTTTATACAAAAATTAAGCAATTTTTTTCATAAACCTTCAACAATGTTACCGAGTCACTTTAAGAGTTTAAATATCTCTGATTAGGAGCTAGTTGTTGGACTGACCATCCTTTGGATCATGATGAGTTTGGGTCCAAGTTGCTTGCTGATGGAGAAGATATGGAGCGCACGGATGAAGAAGAGGGTGAGGTTCAAGGAGAGGATGATGTGACCTGCCTCACCAAAGCCAACAAAATTGAGGATCTCTGCCACTGCAAAGGTGATCAGCGTTGCCAGGTCAAGAATGTTCCAGTAGTCGGTGATCCACACTAAAAGGCGACTCGACCAGCTGATGTTTTCACCTTGTGCAATCTGTATGAAAGCAAAGGATTTTAATTAGCAGTCATCTTGGATTGTCTGGTTAAGTGCAAGAAACTGGTTATACTGATGACATCATTACTTCAGCCTGTTGTCAGTGTATAGTCATTGAACATCATGTATATAATCAGCCTCTAATTATCAATATTTCTTGTTGTTTTTTTTTTTTTTTTTTTGGGGGGGGGGTCTTTCTCCCCCCCCCCCCCCCTTTTCTGCATACAGTTAACACAAGACAGAACATCTTTGCCAGAACGATGGAGGTCTGTCACGTTTGAATACTAAAATTCAGCCCAAACTGAAACTTTTCTTTACAATACAATTTTTCAGCTATCAAAATACCAACATGTTGCTCTTTGTGACATTCTACTACACTTTCCAATCCTTTTGGTTATCTATTGTGTTACATTATCTTTTGACAGCCAGAGGGACGATAACTCTAACTACCACTTAGCATCCTTCGATCTGGCTTCCAATATGAGCCATCACTAAGATAGTGACCTATGACCCTAACACATGCAGATAAACTGTACAATTTTACTTACATAAACATTTCTCCATATAGAAGGTTTATAAAGGTATAATATAAGGTTGCATCCTTACCTGTCTAAACTCCTCTGTGAACAAAGACACTACCCAGACAATGAGCACGTACTCAAAAATATCTTTCGCAAATTTGCCTAGGATGACATAGCTATACAGCACCAAGAAGACTATGTAGGACAACTGTAGTAGTAGTAGATGTAGGGGTTGAGAGATGGAAGGAGAGAGAGAGAGAGAGAGAGAAAGAGATGATAACTGGCATGATAAATGATCTTTGAGGTTGAACATCATTATCTTCACGTATGTATTGTATTATAATGTACACTACAAATCGAAGCCGACGTGCAATGTAGAAAAACAATACCTGGAATAAAATACCAGTATTTTTCAGTTCAATCTGATCTGTTACCTTTGACCCAATTGAACCACACCTATTCTAATCATCATTTTGTGCAAAAAAATGCATGAAAGAACCAATACACAAGACTTTCTAAATACATTTACCGAAATCCAGGTGTGATAGTGAGCACTAAAAAAAAATATTTAAAAAAAATCCTCAACCACCCCCCCTTGAGTACAAAAAAAAAAAAAGGGATTCAGGGGGAAAATGGCATATAACAACATTCCCCCCTTTTGAGTAAGAAAATTGGTTAAAAAATCAGGAAAATCAGGAAAATAAGGGGAAAATCAGGAAAATAGGGGTAATATCAGGGTAAAATCGGGAAGGAAAAAAAATTGGGAAATCGATTTAAATCGGGTAATTATCAGACCTGGAAATCTAAATACCATCACCATCTTTAACTTGAGCTGCAAAGAAGTGGTACTTCTGCATGCTCATCAAGTAACTTTCACAGGAGCAAATGTTTGAACACCACCAATGCAACTTAAAATAGATTAACTATCAAGTTTTCGTTGACGAGTATACCAGGCATTGATACTTACCACATTATGTCTGAAAGTGATCATTGGCGCATTGTAGAAGAACTTGAATTTTTGCCACCAGGACAGATCCACGCCACTGTCCCTCAACATATCTTCGTCTTTATCTTCACTTGGCGGCTTGGGCTTGGCAGAATGTCCATTCATGTTCTCAAGTAGCCTGACAACAAGAGAGATACATTATACAAATTTCTGACCATATCCTCGTACTGCATTAGCTTACCAAAACGGGTGATTTTTCAACCGATTGTGAAGAAATCATTCATTTTCAAAATTACATCACCCATCAGGTGAACCTCTACAGTAATACATTACAAGGTCATATCTATTTGAAAGGGTTTTCAATTTTATAATTGCTCTACAACACATTTTTGTCTTACAGAGGGACATAAATTACCACTGTATACAGGTGGCCTTTATAGAGAGGTGGCTGCTATGACCAGTTTGACTGTATTTAAGTTTTTACTTTCAATGCAATAGGTTGGACAAGAGAATATCTGAAAGGTCAAGCCCCACATTTTCCTCCACAGACTTTATAATCTAAATTCATAAAATATTACTTATGAGGAAGCTTGGGATTTATGTAAAGTATTTCTGAATTAGCTTGGGAAAGGTGATATGATGATTTCATTTCTAAAATTGCCCAATTCTTCACCAATCAGCATCCATCTCACACGATAGGTGGATGCAGATCAAGATCTAAATCCTTTGAGATCAATTACAGTTGCAACATTCTTACAAAGTCTCATAATTATATGATATATGATATGATACGCATTTTGACTACACATTTTAACCGGGTGACTCTGGGTATTGGTGCTAATGCATTATTTTGTATACAAATGTCCTTATTTCATTGTGTTTTAAATTCTCTCCTCTAAATTATGTCTTTCTCTACTGCTACTACATTACTTATTTTTTTCAGGAACCTATATTATACAAGCACTGATTTTTATTAGGTTGCTCACATTCTACTTAATTATATGAATTGAGATTCATTGAGATGTGCTCATTTATACTACTATTGTATTGTATATTTTGTTATTTTATATGTATGTCTATGTTTTCTGTAAAGTGTGGAACGATTAAAAAAAAAAAAAAAAAAAAAATACTAACATGGTCTCGCTTGCCATTCCATTGTCTTCATTGTCTGATGGAGGATGGACTACAACACCCAACTCAATACCCTTGTTCATTGCATCACCTTCAGCAACAACCACATCATCCTGCACAGGCAAAAACAAAACATGTCAAATGCTGAAATGAAATTAGCAGACACTGTAACATCAGTTGTCAGAATCAACTGTATTTCCATCACTGCAGCAATTGATGAATTGCACCTTAAAGACCGGAGTGGGCTCTCGTGGGGAATTTGTCACCATTCAGGTGTTTACCCAATAACAGGTGTTGTCAATCACTAAGATCAGCCTTCAGTTTTATGACCAACAGGCCTCATGTAATGCGTTGCATCCCCCCCCCCCCCCTCCCCCCATATCAAAGTGATTATATTTCACTTTTCTCTCACCCAAGGACTTCCCAGAAACTATATAGGTTGTATTTCTTGATTTATTGGTTCGGTTCGCTTTGTGCAGACTTGTACACATATTAATGGTATTTCCACCAAGTCTGGTGACAGTGAAATATGGCCTTGTGCACTATGCCTTGTGACGTATCTTTCTATATAACATAAAATTATAGCTATTGAAAGTAAAGATACAAATGACTATTAAGGAGATACAAGTGTTTGTAACTCTTCATCATAGGGCCATGATATGATATAAAATCCACATAAAACAAATATCTCTTTTCTATAAAAATTGCTAATTGGAATTAAAATTTAATTTATGAACAATGATGATGATGATGAACATATCACTACAACTATTGCCTTCAGCATCAGATTTGGTGGATACAAAGCTGAACTTAGGAGCGCTACATGCATCGACAGTTTCTGAGAAAGCACAAATACAGTGATACCATGTACCAACTCTTTGACGAAATGGAGCTCCCATCTGCTCCTTGATTCAACATTAAGCCATCCACCAGGAGCAGTTCAACAACTGAATCCTGATATCATTTTACTTTGTGTACTGGATGCACTGCGTATACGGTAGTAGTGGCTTCTCAATACCAAGTTTGACAAGAATATTGATGTTGGCATCAACGTATAAGCGAAGACTAATTGCATGATTAATATAAAATAAATTTAATGATGTTTATGCGCTATGGAAGACGTGCTAAACGGTGGTTGGTTTGGTCTACCTGACTGCTAAGAGAACATGTGTATGCATAGTCTTGCTAAAGTAATTATGGTACACACATTAGACATCACTCCGAAAAAGAGCAAAAATATGATAAATGATTGACATTACTTGTAATTTAATATATTTGACTTCCAGTTTAAACTCTAGATAAAGAAAATATGTATCTGCTACAACATAAAATGAAATTTTCTGTGTGCTGTATACACAAAGGAATCCAGATCATTCTAAGAATAATTTAAGAAGGCTTTATTCTACTCACTTTTGATTTGACAGCGGCAAGCTTCTTTTTCTTCTTCTTGCTCAGTACTTTATCTTTAGGGAACTTCAGGAAGTATATCAATGGAGGGAATAGAGTGCACATCCATAGCTATATACAAAGAGATGTATTATGAATCTAGTTTATTAAAGTGGAACCCTCTGATCTCAATGTCTCTCCAGTGAAAATGCATCATATTTACATGTACATCCAGGAGGCTGTTTCTCGAAACCATTTAACGTCTTGGACATCCAATTGAAACATGTCTTTTAGAATTAACACGCATTTCTATGGGATGTCCATGTAGACTGTTGATGGTTTCGTTAAATTGGCTCTGTGCATGGTACTATACCTATGCAAATACACACTTGCATATGAGCAACTAAGAGACCCATAATTCTCAAGTGAAGAAACCAGGTAATTGACTTGCCCATATGCATTTGATCAATGAAAAATTTAGCAATTCAAAATGTCTTTTGTAATACCGGTATCGGATTTTCCTCAGATTATGATGTGTATAATATAAACCAACATAAAATTCAGGATGGATCCTTCCCCTTCAATTATATATTTAATATCATATTAAATAAAGTATGCATTATGAACTTACTAAGCAGTAGATCTATGTATATGGTGGGAATACAATAGAAATGAATAGCTATAGATCTAGTATAGTTATAGAAAGTGAAATAATACAATGAAATTACACTAAAATTGACAAAAGATAATTAGTTCAAATCAAAGAGATAATCATAAATTCAAGTTGGTGATAACAAATAATAATTCCTGGTAATTACATGAAATGGACTTGTCTTATCCGAGATCTTTCCCATCCAGATCTGAGTGAGGCGACTCTGCACTCCAGAGTGTACAATGAAGTTCTTGTCCACTGCTTCCATGGCCAGACGAAGACACGTAGAATTCCCCCAGTTCGGACGCTCACAAACAAGAAGCAAAGTTGAATATTCTTCATTCTCTATATAGCATTCATTCAGGACTCCTATGGCTAGCTCTCCAAAGTTTCTAAGAGAAATACAAATCAATTAACAAAAAGTGGAAATTAAAAATGACTCTATGAAGAATACTTTATACTTGTTCTTTCAAAGAATTATTGTGATGGTTAGACTACCTTACAATTACTGTAAGTCAACAGACGAGGCGGTGAGACGTGATCTAGGTTCAACCATTTAATACCACACAGCCCAGTCTCGTATCTGGTGAAGTGTAGTCTTATTTCAAGCAGTTAAAATGATGCACATTATACTACATCTCCCCCCAAGTATTTAACAGTTCTTTTCAAGTTACATTAAAACACTAATTTGGGAGTGCATGGGTGTATATGTATTCCTTGAGCCAACTTCTTGTTTTCATACACAAACTTTGTATTACGTTATCCTTGTCAAGTAATGTTCATTACGAATCCTCTATCTTGATTTCTTCAAACTTCTTTTCTTCATGCTTCCCTTTTATCTTCTACAAAGTCAATCGATGTGGTTGTTTGACTAGTCTACCAGAACGGGTATGATATCCCAGTGTGTTTTAAGGGACCTGATTGGGAAGGCCGGCCCTACTTCCCTGGGTAGGCGGGGGATTGAGAAGTTGCTCAGGACCTACAATGTCGTTATCATGGAGAGGGGTTGAAGGGGTAGAGGGGTTTGTCAGGGTCGGTGACATCCGGGCTATGAAAGGCTACCAAAGCGCGTCTGTTTCGTCTCACCCTACCATTATCCGTTTGGATGATGTAGGAACGTGGATGACGGGTCCTACTGACCACTTGACCACGTCGAGCTTGATCTCAGATCCACACTCCGTCACCTTGCTGTAGGGTCGGTAAGATGCGGGTTCTATGTCGTTGGTTGTAGGTCAGTGTCTGATTTGAACGGTACTCGTCTTCTTTCACTCTCACCTTTTCCAAGTCTTATGAGCATGGACTTGTGGCATAAGTGTATCAGGTAGAGTGGGGAGTTCAGTTCGCAGTCTCTGTCCCATGAGCAGCTCACATGGCGCCAGACCATTCTGAAGTGGTGTTGACCGGTAACTCAGCAAAGCAAAGTCAATATCATCGTTCTTTTTCAACAAGGCTTTCACTGTTCGTACACCTCACTCCGCTTCCCCATTTGCTTGAGGATACCTTGGCGAGCTGGTAGTATGGACAAATCCATACTTCTCTGCGAATTTCTGGAAAGTCTCATTCGCGAATTGTGGTCCGTTTTCTGAAATCACCACATCAGGGATACCGTAGACAGCATATATCTCCTTCAAGGATTTGATCACGGCTTCAGAAGTGTGTCCATGTAGCCTTTTTATTTCTAGCCATCTTGAATAGTAGTCCACTACTATAAGAAACATCTTTCCTTGATACTCAAATACCCTTTTCACATCTACCAAATATTGCTTAACCCCGGGAAATAGGTGGGGCTAAGGGGGCTCTTAGCCCCACCAATTCCTTCCTTAGCCCCACCAATTACCCGGGGTAATTTTAGCCGGCTTTCTGTTCACATTACGTTTTGCCAAAGTGGGCTAACCCCACAAATAGTACGGGACTATCTGGCCCTGCAAAATAGCAGGGTTAGCCGGGCAATTGCGGGGTTAGCCGGGCAATTGTGGTGCTAAGCTGCGTAGTGTGAATCCGAACCGGGCTAAGGAGAAGTGGGGCTAAGCAACAGCCAATCACAGACAGCGTGGTCGTGTGGTCGTGAATTTGCATTTATCGCGCGCTATGCATGCAGTTCACGTTACGCATGCATGCAGTTCACGTTGAATTTAGCGCGCGGGTCTTTCTTCTTCATTTAGTCGAAAGGCGCATGCGCGGTAGCAAAAGCATTAATATTCATGAGCTATCGAATAGTCCGGGGCTAAGGCGAACGTAGTGTGAATCGCGTGAAATTTCTTAACCCCGGCTAAGCACATAGTCCGGGGTTAAGAAAATAGATGTGAACAGCAAAAAAAATAGTATGGGGTTAAGGATAGTATGGGGTTAAGGATAGTCCGGGGTTAAGAAAAATAGATGTGAAAAGGGTAAAAGAGATCCATTCCTAGTCTCTCCCAAGGACGCATTGGGAAGGACGAAGTCATCAGTGGTTCTTTAGTCTCCTGGCTATGGATGGCACAAGTAGTCTGGAGATCATCTCTTCCACTGGCTTTGAGAGGCCTGGCCACCAGACCGACTATCGAGCTCTGGCTCTGCACTTTGTGATGCCTAGGTGACCTTGATGTAAGCGCTGTAGGATCTCTAGTCTCAAAGCCCTGGGATGACCAGTTTTTCATCATACAGGAGCAAATCATCAATCACACTGAGGTGTCCCCTCTGTTCAAAGTATTGCCTGATGATAGGGTTGTGAGGCATGTAGTCAGGCCATCCTTTCTCACAATACTCTCTGATTAATGCACATTCTTCATCAAGTCTCTGTGCATCTCTAATCTCCTCCAGTCTCCGGTCTGTTGCAGGTAAGGTGAGGGTAGATGAAGATGCGAAGGCTTCGGTTAATTCGTTTAGCTCTATGTCCTCTGGCTTTGGGCATGCTACTGGTGCTCTTGAGAGGGCGTCTGCTGTGGTCTGTTGCTTTCCAGGCACATATCTTGTGGTAATTGCATCATATCTCATCAACCTTAGTCGAAATCTCAGCAACCTAGGGGGCAACTTTGAACATTCCTTTGTGTTGAGCAGTGTGACCAAAGGCTTGTGGTCAGTTTCAATTTTGAAGGACATACCAAGAACATATATAGTCACTGAACTTCTCACATGCCCATGTAGCCGCTAGAGCTTCCTTCTCAATGACTGCGTAACGTTGCTCAGTCTCAGTTAGCGAACGGGAAGCATAGCAGACTGGCCGTCGGTGTCCATCCTTTTGAGTCTGGAGCAGTATTGCTCCTACTCCAGTCGACGATGTATCAGCAGCAATAGTTGTAGGCAATGATGGGTCGTAGTGGGCAAGAAATTCAGTGACATCTGTCAGCATTTTCTTTATGTGCTCAAATGCTCTCTGTTGTGGTTCCTCCCAGCACCATCCGTTGTCCTTCCTCAAGAGTGTCCAGCATGTCCATGAACCTACGCATCGAGCAGGCCATACCCTTGACCTATTATTCACCAGAGATTCAGACGATATCGACCATGTGAAGCTGTTGTCTTCACTCCCTTCCGATCATTCTGCACTTGTTGCTACAGTTAGCCTCACCACTCCACAGAACCCAAAGAAGGAAGTGAGCTTCAGAAAATTTTGAAGCATCAATATGGACTCTCTACGCAACGACATTAAACAGATCTTCCATCCAATTTCTGAACCTATATGTCCCTCTAAATCTGCAGATCAATACAACTCCTTTCTGAGTACTTTGATTGATAGGCATGCTCCTCTTCAAGTCAAAACCGTCACAATTAGACCTAAAGCGCCTTGGTTTACCGAAGACGTGCGGGAGGCAAAGAGACGAAGGCGCCGGGCGGAACGCTGTATGATCAAGTCAGGGCTTTGTGTTGACAGGGAACTGTATCGTCGAGAATGCGATTCTTACTACGAATGCATCTACAATGCTAGGTCAACGTATCTCAAGAATCTTATTGCAGATGCTGACACCAAACAACTGTTCAGCATTGTTAATTCACTCTCATCACCAAATCAATCATCAATTATTCCAGATCACTCATCTGACAGTGAACTTGCCAACAGGTTTGCTAGGTTCTTCAGCGAGAAGGTATCCAATTTGGTATCTTCCTTCACTGATCAGTTCCGGTGCCAGCAGTCACATATTGCGCTCCGTCGTCTGATCATGAACTCTCCCAATTCTGTCTTGTATCTGATCCGGAATTCAGGAAGCTCATCAAATCACTACCATCTAAATACTGTAGGTTGGATCCAATTCCCACGTGGCTCTTGAAGGACAACCTTGACGAACTCCTCCCTGTTATCACCAAGATGTTTAATCTCTCCTTGTCTTCTGGTCATGTCCCGGAATCATTTAAAAAAAACCTACTCCTTCCTCTTCTTAAGAAGCCGAACCTTGATCCAAATGGACTGAACAACTACAGGCCCATTGCAAATCTACCTTTCCTAGATAAGGTCTTGGAGAGGATTGTGGCTGCTCAGCTGAAGGCCCACCTCAAGAGATTTGGCATGCTTCCTGTTCATCAATCTGCTTACAGGAACCACCATTCAACAGAAACTGCTACGGTTAAAGTCTTGAACGATCTTCTCCTGGCCATAGACAAGGGTAATGAAGCCGTGCTCATCCTCCTGGATTACACGGCTGCATTTGACACCATCGACCATACCCTGTTACTTCATCGCCTGGAAAATGACTTTTTCATCACCGGAACTGTGCTTGATTGGATACGCTCATATCTCCACAATCGCAGTCAACGTGTGATTATCAACGACACGCCTTCTGCAACATTTCCACTGATCTGCGGCGTTCCTCAAGGTTCCGTAATCGGCCCACTTCTCTTCGTTCTCTACACCAGCCCACTGTCAAAGGTCATTAACTCTCACCAGGGGATTCAACATGCGATGTACGCTGACGACACTCAGATTTATATAACTCTTAAGCCTAACAGGAAGGATGATGCGACTCGGAAACTCAGCAGTTGCCTTGAAGACATAAGGTTCTGGTCTTCTAACAATAGACTTTGCCTTAATGAACGAAAATCTGAAATGATCCACATTACTTCCAAATTCAGAAACACCGATTCCTTCCCCGACTTGGTTACCGGAGACGGTTCACTGAAGGGTAGTGAATACGTTCGAGACCTGGGTGTTTTAATCGACAAAAATCTTACATTTCAGCAGCACATTAAAAACGTATGTAAATCGGCATCTTTTGGAATCTTCAAAATTGGGAAAATTAGGAAACTACTTGACCGGCCCACAACTGCAAAATTAACCCATGCATTTGTTTCCTCCCACCTTGATTATTGTAATTCAATTTTTTCTGGTCTTCCGCATTCGTCCCTACTTCCACTTCAAAGAATTTAGAATACTGCTGCAAGGCTTGTTACTCTCTCGAGAAAGTTTGAGCACATAACCCCAATA